GTGGGGGTGGAATGGCGACCTCGGTTGTGACTCGTTCTGCGATGGTTTGTATGACTTGCGTTACATCCTCCTTGAAATACAAAGGAAGGAGATGGAGAGCAAAGGTTCGTATTTTTCTTTGACAATAGAGGATGCTGCGCTGAGTGTCGGCATCGCCTACATTTTCAGCGATGGTTTCCAAGAGACTGGTGGTGCGGATGATATTGACGGTGGTAAAGGTGGTGTCATCCTCTCTTTCAGTGAGGATGCGTTCTATTTCAAGAGCATGTTGTGGGGATAACAAGGGCGGATTCTACGAGAGAGGCAGCGTCAATCTCGTTAACGAGGTCGAAGTATTCAGCGAGTTTGAAGGACGAGGACATGGTTTGTTTTGCTAGAATCGGTTCTGGAGACGAGGGTTCAATGGAGAAGTCGGGCTAATTTGAGGCGGTTTTTATAGGCTTTCAGGATCTCTAGGGCGTTCTGGAGTTCCTTTTCGGGTAGCCATGAGTTTTCTGAACTAGGGTAGCCCTTCCATGACACGAGGAAACGGCGTCTTCCTTTTACGTTTCCCTTGTGGGCGAGGATCGCTTCTATCTCGTATTCCTCTTGTCCAGTTGATAAGATCAGGTGGTGGTTCAGGATGGTTCGGGCCGTGAATTTCAGTTTCCCGATAGGACGATAGTTCAGAAGCATGAAACACGGGGTGAGATTTCCAAGATTCTGGGAGACGGAGTTTGAATGTGATAGGGGAGAGGACTTTTTCAATTTCGAAGGGACCATATCGCTTCGGCGCAAGCTTCTTTGATGGGAGATGGGTGATAAGATGCGCAGCAGATAACCAAACTTTGTCTTTAGGTTTCCAGGGTTCAAACTTTCTTCCAAATGATCGTTCGGCCATACGTTGCATTGCTAGTTTATGACAGGCAAGGGCTTCTTCTCGAATCTTCTGGAGGTGTTTTACTCGGTCTTCTGCGGCAGGGATAGCGGAATCGGGGAAAGCGTAAGGAATTCCTCGAGGCTCATAGCCCATCATGAGGAAGAATGGAGAGGTGTTTCGGGAGTCGTGTTTTCGGTGATTATGGACGAATTCTGCCATAGGAAGATGTTTTACCCAATCTTGGGGGTTTGACCGGCAATAAATGCGGAGATAGGTTTCGAGTTCTTGGTTTAATCGTTCAGTTTGTCCATCAGTCTGCGGGTGGTAGGCGGTCGAAAGGGCAACTTCATATTCAAGGAGTCTTCCAAGTTCTTTTGCGAATTTTGATGCGAATTGGGGACCTCTGTCGGAGATGATCTTGTCATATAGACCGAATCTGAGGAACACTTTCTTGAAAAAGAGTTTGGCTACTCCTTCCGAAGTGATGGTTTTCTTGCAAGGTGAGAGAATTACCCCCTTCGTAAGCCCATGGTCTACCACGACCATGACAGAGTCAAAACCTTCCGATGGTGGGAGATCGGTGATCAAGTCTACTGAGACTTGGGCGAAGGGGCGTAAAGTGGAGGAGGAAATAGGGTTCAGAGGGGGAGTCGTGGGGTGCGTATTGGACTTCATTGTTGACACATTGTGCATCCTTCGACGTATTTCCGGATGTACGTTCCCATCCCAGGGCCACCAATAATCTCGCTTAATTAGTTCTTCAGTTTTAAAGCGTCCGGGGTGTCCGGCAGTGGGGTGGTCATGGTGAAGATTTAAGATGCGATGACGGAGATTTGCGGGGACGTAGGCTCGGTTCTTATAGAAAAGCGTGTTGTCTTCGATACGCCAATCAGACAGTGCTGATTTCATAGGAGGGGCATTGAGCCCAGTCTAGGGCCTGTTGTGCTGCTAAGATAATGGGATCCGAGAGGGGGTTCTGGAGTTTCAGTGCTGCGGCAAGGTCGATATCAATGAGTCGTCCAAATAATTCATCAGGGAGGAGGGTGATATTGGTGTTATCAGTTTGGCCTGCAGAATGATCCGGTCGTCGTGAGAGAGCATCAGGGGCGGCGAGTTTGCTTCCTGCAACATGATGTAGTTCTAGATCGAACTTCATTGAGGGTCAGCTGCCATCGTGCCTGCCGACGCGTCAGGTTCTGTGCTGATCGAAAATAGAGAAGATTCTTGTGATCGGTGAAAACTACTACAGGGTGTGGGTTCCCTTCAAGATAGTGGCGCCAAGCTTTCAGGGCTCGGATGATTGCGAGGAGTTCCCGATCATAGATCTGATAGTTTCGTTCTGCTGGGTTAAAGGATTGGGATAGATATCCGCAAGGATGATAAGCACCATTCTCGTCTGTTTGCAAAAGAACGGCTCCTGTAGCAACAAGGGAGGCATCGGTGGCAAGAGCGAATTGTCGCGAAGGGTCGGGGTTTCGGAGAACAGGTTCAGAAAGGAAACATTTCTTCAGTTTCTGGAAGGAATCTTCACAGGCTTCTGACCACATGAAAATCGCATCTTTCTTTGTTAGATCGATCAAGGGTCGTGCGAGGTCGGAGTAGTGGGATATGAAATGACGATAGAAGTTACAGAATCCGAGGAATGATCGGACTTCTTTTACTGAGGATGGGAATTTGCCAATCGCTGATACCCGAAAGTTTGGCAGGGTCCATCGCAATTTGTCCTGGTCTGATAATCATCCCTAAATAGTCCACCTCTTGAGCGTCGAAAGTGCACTTTTCTGGTTTCAGGAAAAGAGTTTCTCTTCGAATGATTTTGAGAATACGGCGGGTTCTGTCCTGGTGTTCTTCGAGAGTTTTTGAAAAGATCAAGATGTCGTCCATGTAGACTATCATCCATCCTTCGTCTATCTCTTTTCTGAATGTCTGATTCATGTATGCTTGAAACGTGGCTGGTGAATTGCAAAGACCGAAGAACATGACTTTCGGCTCAAAGAGCCCAAACGAGGTTGTGAAGGCGGCCTTCCAGCGATCATCGGGATGAATCAGGATGTTGTTGTAGCCCGATCTAACATCCATTTTCGTGAAATAGTTGGCGTCTTGCAGTTTCGCGATTAATGGAGGAATTAAGGGAAGAGGGTATGCGTTCTTTATCGTCCATTCATTGATGTAACGATAGTCTTGACAGGGGCGAAGAGAGCCATCCTTTTTTCCAACAAAAAAGAAGCCACTAGCTTGAGGGGATTTCGATGGTTGGATAAAATCTTTCGAAAGATGTTCGTCTAAGAAAGCTTTCACAGCTTGGGTTTCTTTCTGGGATAGGGGGTAGGTTTTTCGCTGATTTAGGGACATAACCAGGTTTGGTTTCGATTCTATGATCCACTCCTGGCCTCGAGGGCGGTAACTTGTTTAACCCGTCTTTAGCGAAGATATCGGCGAAGTCGTGGAGATAGGATGGAACGAGTTCTTCGAAGGTCTTTTTCTTCTTTTCTTGCGCATCTTTTAGGGCAAATTCTTGAGCCTTGTTGCTGGTCTTCAGGTATTCTTCTCCGGTAGTTTTCCTTGAAAATATCCATTGGTTCCTTAGCGGTTGCGTCGAAATTGCTCGTCTAAGCTCAATTGCGGATGTTCCATCTCGGGTGAGGGGAGTATCGAGGGAAAGGTTTTCGATGATTCTGACCGTTGATCCATCAGGAGAGTATTCGACAAGCACTTCATCATCGTTGATCGGATAAGTGGAGATATCATCCACTTTTCGGGCGAACTAAGGTTTCAGTGGGAACATCGTCCCAGACATCATCCTTGGTGTCGTATTGAGGAAGGGGAGTGGGAGTCTTCCACATTTCTCGGTATTCTTGTTCCAGCTTTCGAGAATGTGGAGTTGCTGGGAGTTTGAGGGTGTCTTTTACCCAATCGATGTCGGGATTCATGGCCGATAGCCAGGGTTTACCAAGGAGAATCATATCTCTTTCTCCCATGGTCATTACGTTGAACTTTCCGATCATGAGGCGTTTGTCGATTTTTATGGCTAGGTGACAGTAATGAGTACATTGCTTCTTCGAGAGTTGTCCATCGGCGTTTCGGATAGAGAAGGGTTTTTTGAACTTATGAATCTTGATTCCATGTTTCCGGACAAACATCCAGTTGATGAATGTTGCCCCTGCGCCACAGTCTACTACGGCGGTTGTGTGCAATGCTTTATCGGGATGTACGGAGGAGAAGATGGTCGCCGGGACCCTGAATTCTTTAGTCTTTCCTACATTCTTGGCTATACGTACATCGATATATGGAGTATCTGACATTGCGGCAGGCTCCGAGGTTAAAAATCCAAGTTCCATCCTTTTGACGGATTCATCGTCTTCTTCTTCCTCGATCTTGCTGGAAGATTCTTCATCATCAGACGCTTCGCGTCTTACCGGTTGCTTTCCTTTTCCCTTCTTTCGGTCATCTCCAGAATCTCTAGGATGGAATGTGCGGTCGTTCGCACGATGTCCGACCTTTCCGCATTTGAAGCATTTTCCTTGCCTCATGTATTCTCGTTTCTCATCTTCGGTTAGGCGGTCTACGTCCATCGCGTTCTCGTCCCTAGGGGTGCCTGAGAAGCGAGTGGGTCTTCGATTGTCGTTCCTCTTCTTGCTGTGGTGATTCGAGTGATGAGAGTTGTGTGAACGGAGGAGTTGGTAGGCGTTTTCGATGTTGATAACTTTCCTAAAAAGTTTTTCTGCATCTTCAGGAACTTCTCCGGAGTTACATAACTTCGTTACGATTTGGTGGTTTAGACCGGCGAAGAAATAGTCTTTTACGGCGGCGAAGTTATTGATTCCAGCTTTTGAGGCGAGCTGCTTGAAGCTGGCGATGTATTCGCTTAAATCGTCTTTCTGCTTTAGGTTGCGGAGTTTGTGGAGGGCTGTTCCTACAGAGTCAATCGGGGAAAAGCTTTCTTTCATCTTGGTAGTGAAATTCGCCCATGTTCCGAAAACCGTTCTTTGCTCCGGTTAACGAGGTTGGGTTTTCTTCTCTGGTAAAGGTGATGAAATCTTCCATCCAGAGAGCTGCTGCTCCTTCTTTCATGAATGAAAGAGCGAAGATGATTTTTCGCTTGTCGGTGTCGTAGATTTCATCATTGATTTCGATGTATGAGTCAACTAGGCAGCAGCCATTGGGAAAATTTCTCTCTGTCTCCGGAAAAGTCAGGTGGGTATCCAATTTTCCGTTCAATGGGTTTGTCTCCTCTTCCTGCCATAGTGGATACTTGAGGTTCGGGTTCTTCTGGTTCTTCGGGTTCTTCGTCGTAGTCTTCTTCTTCCTCGTCGTCAAGGTTCAAGCGGTGGAGCGTCAGGGATTTCTTCGTCTTTATCAACGGGTGGGTTTTGGGGGTGTTCCTGCTGCGACGGTTCTTGGTTCTGGGATAGATCCTTCCTCAAACGAACTATATCCTATTGGTGATGCAATGACCCCTCTGGTTATAGCGGATGGTCCTGCTAATAGGGATGAGAACGGGTTCTGAGGAGTCTGAGCGGGAGTTCTTTCTGTTCTGGGGTATGGGTCTCCTCCTAGAATTCTTCCGGCGGCGTGTCTTGCCTTAGCCGAGCTTAGCTTCTGGGAAGACGTCTTGTCTTTCTATTCTGGGTTCAGGGTTTCAGGGTGAGTGGGTCCCTCGGTGATAGAGGGGTTCAGAGTAACTTGAATCTTTTGTTACGACTTGGATAGTTCTTGCGTAACTAATCCAATAAAGGAGTTCTTCGTGTTACGACGTTCGGTTCAGACACTTGAGGGGCTCTCCCTCTAAGTGAAGTTCGAGTATAGGCTAGTCTCTATAAGAGCTAGATCGGAATCAGGTATCTTCCTCAGAAGATGATCAAGTATCAGAGAGAACCAAGTAGATTCAAGTTAGAGAATACAAGCGTGACTACTGCGGTATTTATAATGGACAAAGGAGGCACGGACCAGGCCGACTATGGAAGTGAAAGGAGTCAAGAAGAACATCATGGAACTATCTGGAATGTTCATGCAGTGCATGTTGATAAGCAGTCAAAGATAACAAGAATAGACGGAAGTATCTAGAATGTTCATGCAGTGCATGTTGATAAGCAGTCAAAGATAACAAGAATAGGTCGGAGAAGCATGATGATGAGAAAATGATGGGGCCGCTGTAACAATGCCTGGATGCGAAATTGTAAGATGCGAGTCACCGAACATACCCCCACTCGTAGTTGCTCGGTATAAGGACCCTCTAAGCTTCCGGCTGACGTGGATAACCCATGTGCTTGCTCCAAGAGTTTGCGTACCTCGCGAACGTCGTTCTCGTATTCTGGCTTCAGTGAATCCCATCCTTCACGATCAGCAGCACAGACAGCATTCAATTCTTCAGACTCCAATCGTTGATACAGATTGGAACCTGGTTCATAACCAGCATTGAACCAGATATCGTCCAGATGATTAAGGAGTGCGAGTGTCTCCTACAAACAGTGTGCATTAAAATTTGACAAATCAACCAAAATGTTTGACTCACATCTGAAGCTCCACCCCGGCGACGCCAGCGAGTGCGGGATTTGACATGTTCTTGCTGCCGATTCCTGTTGATTGTGAGTTCAGTAGTGCACGCGCAAAGAATGAACCACATTACTTGACTTGCCTGGCGTAGTGTTTTTTCTTGGATTTTAAACGAGCTTGATGGGACTGCTCAGTTGTGTTGTACTTGCGTTTCCGAGTCATGCAAGGCGTCAGTCAACTGGAATGTGTGAAAAGGCGTAGGTAAGCTTCCGCACTCGAGTTAGATTTCATGTAATGCCTCAGCCACCACTTCGGGACACATTAAATCATAGCACATAAGTTTCATTGCAGCTGTAAATACAATAGTTTCAACAGTCTGATTTATATATTATGCATTCTGACTAGCGCAGGACAGGTAAAATGAGCTACCGTATCAGAAATCTCCCGATATCACTATGTTATAGACTCGCGACCCAATAGACGTGAATTTCAATGAAAGCATATTGTACAATGACTTTGGGACGGCTGTTGATGCGACCTAGTAATCCATCTCCCCAAGAGCTTGACATTCACAATTCTCTCAACATATATATGTAAAAAATGCGATTGAAATCTATGTATCAGTCCCTACAGGAACATCGCACAACTACTACATCACAAAAGTCGCCCCCTCTCTCCTGCGCAGCTTCACTTTCTGTTGCAGATGTGGTAGCGGTGGGATTCGTGGTGCCAGTGACTGGTATAGTGAACATATTAAACAGTAAACTCCAGGGTAGCACTATGAAAACTTACCGGTGGTTTCCGACTTGGAGAGGCCTGTTGCAACGCGGCTCGAAGTGATTGCTATACCACAAGCATAGCAATTGTGGCGGTGTGCCCGGAAAACGCATGCCGCGCATGCTCCATATTCAGTCTGTGGACTCGGCAGCTCCTCTGAATCATGTCCATCGTGTGCAGCAAATATGGCTATTGATGAGGAGTGAGTGTGATGAGCCGAGATTCAGATTAATTGAAATGTTGAACATACCATTTTGGTCACTGATTAACGTCAATGCTCCTCCCAGCTCACGCAATGTGAATGCTGGGGGGTCACCATCATCATATCCCTGGTCTGCAGCAAAAGGTCTAATGAGCCATCAGATGAATGGTTGAAAATAAAATTTACCGCTTTGATCCCTAATCAACCCCAATGCTGCAGCCAGCTCATTTACGGTGAATGTTAATGGGGGTGGAAAACGACGGTAAGCCGTATTATCGTTCCTTGGGCTCTGCATTCAAAATGAGGTGGGAGTGTGAGTAAAAAAATAGCAGACGGCAGCAGTTACCAGGCGATTTCAACTCCGATCAGCAAATACACTTGCTGATTGGTTGAAGATGTGTGGTCAGCATTAAATTTTCAGGCTTGGCCTGCGGTAATACTAGGACCGCACAAAACCTAAAATCGCGTTATTCAAAAAAACGCGTACCTCACCAAGGCAAGCGGTGACAATTGTGTCTCATCGAGTGATCATTAATTCAGCTCAGATAGGATGGCAGGAACAGTCTGGACCACACCTGAACAAAAAGACTTCCTTGAGACGTACTATAGCGGGTTTCTGTTAGTGCAGCTACAGGCAAAGGTTTCCCAGTACTGGGATCCAATATACCTTGAATGGTTCAAAAGATGGCCTGAAGAGGATGTAGTATTTAAAAATACTCCTGCCAGTGATCCCCGTACAGACGAGGAAACTAAAGTTCTGAAGGCAGCAGTTCAGAAGCGGAGACAGGTAAGCACTGCCCTCATGATGCCCTCACCGATGATGTACATACTGATATGCTTAAAACAGCAAATACGAACCTGGTTCAACTATAGGTCCCAACGAAGTGGCCGTTCAGCTGTGAACGCGATGACTAAAGTCATCCAGAAAACGTTAACCAATAAAGCCAAAGGAACTCGGGTTCATACCCCTGCCGAGATCTTTTCGACCATTGCCTATAAGGAGGAAGTAAAAGAGCGGGTTCAAGACACCATTAAGTCCGGCGAGCTCGTGACTAAACAGGAAAAATTGTCAGCTATTCGAAAACTTACACGCGAAGCATACAAAGCCGCACCGCCAGAAGTCCAAGCTTTGTGTGAGGAGAAGGTCCGAGAAGAGCACAAAGCGAAAGTCGCATTTAATGTGCAAAATGAAAAATCTGCACCTACCAATAAACAGTATGCAACGTAAGTTTCGGCTTTTGCCCGCACACCATTTTCCCATTGCTTATACATTATTAGCGCTCTCCAGGAGTGTACTGCTCCCATTGCGCAGTTCTTGCAAGTCATCAAGGACATGACAGGGTGGGAATGGACTGTTATGGGTGCTGGGCCTGACCCTCATCTTGGTGGCCAACTAAATGCGATGAGGTGCGTCTCATATTCGCTCGCTCATTTTCAGAATGCTCAAGACTTCTTAGTTACCATACAGGAGTGAATGGGGATGGACACAATTGGAAGCAAGCCACCCCAAAATTCGTTGAGAAGCATCTCAATCCATACTTGGAATTTGTTGGAACACTGTTTCGTGAGTAATGTTCCCATTTGATGGTCGGTCACGCATACTCATTGGATTCAATAGCCGAGCATGTCAGAAAGTCTCGTGCCATTGACGTTGTCGCCCCACTCGCAAACAGTCTATCACCCACGACTTCAATCGCGAACGGTCTACCACCCACGATTTCATCTCCCTCGGGTGAAGGATCTGGGTCACTGGAGGGTGCATCATCAACCGTGACTCCAGCATCACATGGAACTGCCCTGCATGCCCCCCTTACACTCTCGGACACCCTGCGAGGTGTCGACTCGTCTCAGATGCAGGGACTTATGCCTTTCAGCAACCCCCTGGGTGAAGGATCTGGGTCACTGGAGGGTGCGTCATCGACTGTGACTCCAGCATCATATGGAACTGCCCTGCATGCCCCCCTCACACTCTCGGACACCCTGCGAGGTGTCGACTCGTCTCAGATGCAGGGGCTTCTGCCTTTCAGCAACCCCCTCGGCCTTACCGTTGACAACGAAATGTCCACCGACTTCGGCACTGACATCTCCATGTCCCTCAATCCATATGACGCCTGCTTCACCAGCACATCAGCATCTAACTACGATTTCACCTTACCTGCCCGCTCCTTGTCATCCAGCGAAAATACACCAGCACACACTATGGGAGACACAAGCGCCGGCCTTACCTTTGACAATCAAATACCCACTGGCTTTACCACCGACACCTCCATGTCTTTTGATCCCTATGACGCCAGTGTACCCAGAACCCCGGCATCTAACTTCGATTTCATTTTGCCTGCCCACTCCTTATCATCCGGCGCAACCACCCCAGCGTCCACTATGGGAGACTCATTGCCAGATCTTACTTTTTCATCCAGTCCAATGCCATCATCTAGTCCAATGCCGGAAACTCCCATTACCTCATGGAGGAAACAGACGTACAGTACATCCGCATCTGCCCTCATGACACCCCCTCGCCTTCGCTTCCGCACTACATCCGCTATTGCTACCCCATTACCGTCTTTTGCCCCCTTGCCGGTATCAACGGAAAAGTATAACTTCAGTTCTTCTGCATACCCGCCTGATCCTCCAGTGGTTCCAGCCGCTGGAACAGCTCAGGTTTTGGCGCCACCAGTAGTATCCTCTGCTAGCGGTTCCGGCTGTGCTGGGGACTTGGATTCTGCTCTTGCGCCCTCCACTGTTGAGGTTGCCCAGGTTTCAGAACAGCCGGCGCTCCTCCCTTCTGATGTTGGTAGTGCATCGGGCTCCGCTGTGCAAGCCGATGACGTAGTTGCTCCTGCTGTTAGGAAGACAAAGCGCGTGCGCCAGCAGACGACACGTTTGGCACAGGCTGATAGCATAGGTGGCCATTCTCAAAAGAGGTTTGTGATTTCGAGTGTTTATTATTTGCAAGCGCGAACACTAACTCAATTTCTAGGAGGAGAAAGGCTATGTGATACTACACTATGTTTTGTGTTCCGTCGATAATACTGAGTTGTCAAGTGATGTTTATGTGTCTTGTGTTGTTGAATATTGAGAATACGAGCATATTTCTTGTTGAGACTTCGCGATTTGTGAGATGAAAGGCAGATTTCAAGGCAGACAAGACATAAGCATGAAATTTTGCGTGATCAGGCAAAAGAGCAACCAGTCTTATTGATATTTGCAAGGCAGACGGGACATAGCGTGAATATTTGCATATCCAGGCACGAGAGCAGCCAGTCTTAACACTCAGGCAATACCGATACCTAGAGCTGAATTGAGATTCCACTGATGCGCAGAGATCGACGAGGACTAGGCCATCAAAGGTACACGAACGTAAAATCTCGATCTCCTGCCAATTCGGGGTGCGGTAGGCCATCAAAGGTACGGCGAACGTAAAATCTCGATCTCCTGCCAATTCGGGGTGCGGGGAACCAGGGGATATAAGGCGTGTCCCGCCGAGGGTGTACAAAAAGGGGGGTGGGCTAAATTAGGCTAAGAACTACTCAAAGTGGGTACACGAATTGAGAAATGGTGTGGCGGATCATTACTGGCAGCGTTATGCATGGTGGGAATCCATTATGCATAACGGCTCACCCATCAAGGACTAGAGTCCACCATGCATAACCATGCTGTTTCTTACCACACATGGTTATGCATAATTTGGACAGTATAGCCTGTAGGATAAAAACGCACCAAAAATGCAAGCCTGTTCCAATGAGCGGAGTCAACCTCGATAGAGCCATGCGCAAGTGATTTTGCTGTGTCCATGATGCTCATGCGTTTGCGGATAGACGCGAGTAACTGAACAATCATTTTAGCAATTCTTAAGATAAATTAAATACCATTTGCATACCTTGCTCTTCATGTTACTGCGAATTGATGAAAGCAGCTCACTGACAATTTTCGCCAATATTGCAGTCAGTTCTACATCCTCAAACAGCGATGGTGGAACTTTGAATACGCCACTGTTGTCCTTGATGAAATTCTGTTGCAGTGTCAGTTCACGTGAAAGAGTCGTCATAGCTCGAAGGGGGTTACCATGATGTGGGGATGTGTGTCCGTCACATATGCGGTAATGTTTGGTGACAATAGACATGCTATCAAACGATTTTGGAGTGCGGACTGCATAGCACAATTAACCTAGTGACTTGTGGGTGGAGATGGCAAAAAAATACTTTGAAATCTTTAGAGTTTAGCAACTCTTTCAAATCAAGGAGAAGAGCAGCCTTTCGGCCTGTATCACTCTTCATCATAGACACTTTGAGATCAATGAGCATGTAATATATTCCTCCGGTCTAGAGGTGTTTCAACAAATGGGCGTTCGTCCAGCAATACAGCAACTCACATCAATAAAGTCAAAGAGACTCTTTTCTGAGACATCGTTCTCCTCGGCCATCTTCTTCACATACAATTTGAGCCGTTTTGTGCGCGAGGGCATAAGGATTGTTGGGTCATCCTGGCCAGCAGCAGAATCTGTCCTTCGGCGACGTATGCCAGCAGTAATTGCCTCATCAAGTGAACCATCAGATGAGTGGGAATACGGAACAGTAGAACGTGCCACGCTGTCACCAACAGCAGTCCGGCTGTGAGAAAATGATGTACTGTCGACCGGAAACGCGCCGAGTGGTGAGCGTGCGCGAGCGATGTTTCCCATTGCCTGAGAACCACTTGCAGAAGGGGCTCGTGTTCCACCACGTTGGCTCCTGCAGCTGCTGGCACTTCTGCCTCGAGACCGCAGCAAGTTGATGTCTGGAGTCAACAGACCGTCATTTTCTGACCTACGGGCCTGTGAATTAGCTGAAGTCTTTGAACCTTGAGAGCGCACAGGAAAACGCGAAATCATGATGTCAAAGGTGAGGGAAATGCACGAGACCTGGTGTTGCCCAAGGTTGACGGTGATGAACAAGAATCAAGTCAAATCACATTAAACTTTGCACTTAACGTAAATTCGGTAAATTTGGGGCACACAATGAAACCTTTCAATCCGACTTGAAGCTTGATAAAAACAGAGCAGCAGAGAAGGCAAACCGAATTATGAATAGCATTAGGTATACAAGTGGTATCAAGGGTGCAAAGGCAGCAGGGAAAGATATAGGGAACATGATGGATAAAAAAACATGCAATTGCGATCAGTGTTCTTGGACGAGCTTCAAATAACATTTCAATTGGTGGAACTGTGGTGAATCTGCGTGGAGGTCCTCACCTTGACCGTTGTGTTGTCGAACTGTGGTGAATCTGCGTGGAGGACCTTACTTGTGTTGTCGAACTGTGGTGAATCTGCGTGGAGGTCCTTACTTGAGTGGCAGGAGGAAAGAGCCCAGGTGAAATACGAAAGAAGGCGCTCAATCCTTCTTCTCCTCCTTGGTCTTCGAGCTGCTTTCGGAGGAAGCGTTCTCAGCATTCCGCTTCTCATACACCTTCTGGAAGAGGCTGAGCAAGGCTTGTTGAGTCTCGTTGATCTTCTCCCGTATTTGCTCAGCGGTAACATCGTCACTGCCGGCCTGACCCTTGGCAGCAAGCTCGCGGAGCTCACCAACGAGCTTGGTCACCTTCTTCTTCTCAGCGGCGTCGAGCTAGTCCTTGTCGAATTGTGGTGAATCTGCGTGGAGGTCCTTACCTTGACCGTTGTGTTCTCGAACAGATGGTTTTTATTGGCAACCAAGCCTCGAATCTGTTCAAGGCCCAGCCGGTGGACCACCAGGAAGGATATGTGGCCCCATGCGAATATTTGAACCTGATGCCATGGGACCCGGCTGTGCATAGGTGGGAGGGGGGTGTGTACTTGGATGATAGCCCGAGTAAAGATGCGGGGGCAGTGGCACTGGTAGTGGACGAGGGTATGGCTGTGGCGGAGGAAGGTACAGTTGTGACGGAGGAATGTATGGTTGTGAAAGGTGCGGTAGCGACAAAGGATGGTATGGTTGTGGCGGAGGAAGGTATGGTTGTGGTAGAGGGAGGTATGGTTGCTGCGGAGGAAGGTATGGTTGTGGCGGAGGAACATGTTGTTGTGGTGGATGGTGTGAAGGAGTCAGAGAGGGGTGGAAGGATTGAGACGGAGGAGGGTAAAAACCTGAGCCTATTGGCGGCGCAAAGTGGCCTTGGCAATGCTGACTGAAAGCAGCAGCATTAGCCTGAGATTGAACCGCTGGATTTTGCGCTTCAAGTTGATGAGTGCGAGATGACGCAGCCTTCTTGCCCCGTGTGCTGGAGCTGCTTGCTCTTGCTTTTGCCTTGGTGGTCCTCGGTTTGACGGAAGGTTTATCGAAAGCAGGAACTGGTACCGACGAACCCTGAACATCATTCACGGTGCTTTCAGCTTCTTGAGGGGTGTCGCCAGATTTCTTCGAGGCTTTCTTCTCCTTCATATGTTGTACAGCTGTGGCTCGAACTTCCGCCACATTTGTAACTCTTAGTGGTGTTTCACGAAGCGTTTTGGAAACCACGAGATGGATGTATGTGTAGTTATGAAGAGAGTAGGCATTGAGAAGAAAGTTCGGAGTGGACTTATGGCGAATAATGGGCTTCGTCCGAGATGTTTCGATCCGTTCTTGATGGACATGTTGTTGGAGGGTGTCCGTGCATTGTGAGTCGATACAATTATGCTGTAGGTTAACAATACATATGATATCCTGTTGGACAATGGTCAGAATGGTTTGCACATTTGTAAAAAAGACTCGCCGATGCTGTTACAACTACTTCATCATCCATAAGACTCAGTTGTGGGAGGTGGACAGAGGCATGTAATGTATCCAGAAACGAAAAGAGCTGTAATGCGACATGAATCACTGTTTCGTGGTCCTCAGAGGATATGAGAATCTCGCGAATACGACCAATGCCCATCTAGTAGCATGTCATGAATCAACAGTCACAAAAAGTCGGGAAAATACTCACCTGCCCATTCGCCCCTTGACGAAAGATAACGTGGCTATCTAAATGAGCGACGTCACCCTCGCTCGCCACAACCAATTTGCCACAATAATAAACAACGCCAGGCTGTGTGGTCTTCAAGGTCTTCGCACAGCGAGTGTTCTTCCAGGCCACCGCATCATTCCTCGTTGTTTTTCCATTCACGCCAGCAGTCGATCGAGCCTTTCCGGTGTGGGTACAACAATTCAGATTGAAGGAATCTGATGTGTTGGGTCTTGCTGCCTAGCTGCTATGTCAGAGTGTTGACAGTGTAAGACCCAGGGTTTCTGGACCAGGCTCAGAGCTCAGAGAGGGAGAGAGAGTAAGGGAAACTGCATTCAAAGTCACTCCAGGTGAGGGTAAAGGTAAAGACCAACATGATTATGTAAGCTATCCAAGTGCCAACACAAGCAAGGTAAATAGGGGTAAAGTAAGCCTAACCAGGAACTTGTTCCTACATCTCATGGGACCTTTAAATCATGACTGTCCCCAGTCATTTCCACAATACAGCCAAAACTAAACTGAACTTGAGAAAACTGACCTGATGATCCCCACACACCTGTTTTCACAGACTACTGTTGTCATGTGAACCGCGTCAGTGAGTGAGGGTCAGGCAACACGGCAAAAACTTGGCCCCCAGGACTGTACTGGAGGACTTCGGAGGATAAAACGGCAAAAAGCGGAGTAAGGGCTGCACGGATGACGATGGGGAGTAGCTGGATGGATAGGGGCGAGCGAGGGCTTCAAAATGAGTATAGGGTTTACTGGGTTTGGCGAAGGAATGGGCGAGTTATAGAGGAATTGGTCAGGGGGGGTGGAAAACACGAGAAATGCGGATAGCGTGTGAAGGGGCGGACATATTGAGAAGCGGATGCGGCGGATGTGACGGCGTGGACGAGGGCTTCAAAATGGATACTGGGTTGATGGCGATTGGTGAAGAATTGGGAAAGATATGGGGGAAATAGCGAAAAAGGGCGGAAATTGCGAGAATGGCAGATAGCGAGGGGATGCGCGGACCAATTGGGAAACTGATGCGGTGGATGTGTCGGCGTTGACGAGAGCTTCAAAATGGGTCTGGGGTCGATGGGGTTCCGATGCGAAATGGGCTGGTGAAATAGGAAGAACACGTATAGGGCGATGAGGGGGCAGGAGGAAGGGGTAGGCAGTAGTGAGGGACTGGCTGGTCATCTCAGGAAGCGGATTAGGGCGATGGGCAGAGCCACAGAGGGATGCTGGACGACCAAAAGAGCTAGAATAGACAGGCCTTTGTACTCCCACAACAACCTTATCTCTCCTCAACCTCTCAAAAACACGAAAAAACCCGATATCTCCACCACTTCTGCTCCAAATGGGATGACCCAGGGCTCAAAATGACGGCCTGAACGAGGGGAATCCGAATCTGAGTTTGCGAGAGATCCGGTCGAAAAACGCGTGGGAAAATCGCTTATCTGTGCGGAGGGGGGAGGAGGTGATGCTGAAAACTGATGAATGAGTGACTGTGGTTGGATAAGGCTTGGAGTAGGGATGGTAGGGTGATGATTGGTGAGCATAGAGAGCCTAGAAACAAGAAACCCTCGCGGTGGGCTCCAGTTGTGGGTACAACAATTCAGATTGAAGGAATCTGATGTGTTGGGTCTTGCTGCCTAGCTGCTATGTCAGAGTGTTGACAGTGTAAGACCCAGGGTTTCTGGACCAGGCTCAGAGCTCAGAGAGGGAGAGAGAGTAAGGGAAACTGCATTCAAAGTCACTCCAGGTGAGGGTAAAGGTAAAGACCAACATGATTATGTAAGCTATCCAAGTGCCAACACAAGCAAGGTAAATAGGGGTAAAGTAAGCCTAACCAGGAACTTGTTCCTACACCGGAACCTACAAATAATATGAGTGAGGATAAAGTGAGGCACGATGTGCTTAAATACCAGGTACTGGGGGGACTTGAACGAAATTGGACAACCCAAGAAGTCGGGCTTGCTCTGGGTGATCGTGCAGGTACTCGATGACCACTTGACCACCCTGAACCCATTTTGCTACCTTAGGGTTGTACCAATATCCACCGGTGGCAACATGTTTGATGATGTCTTGGTGAGCGAAGGTTCTGCAGCTGTCACGGCTCGGTGCCTGACGGTTGCTGTATATGCACGACAAACGAAAAACATGGTTAAATGACTCATATCTTTCTGTCGAAAATACAATTGCGGGGCCAAACCGACGGATGTAAGCTGGGAGGTGGATTAAAAAATGAAATTTTGGTTTGCTGATAATGATGCTGGGCGAACATTGAGCTGTGACATTAAGGAAGTCCTGGATCGTTCGAGATAACTTCGCCTGAAAGACTCGAGTCAGCATGAGACCTAGAATCTACATTTGTGTATGAACTTACAAGATAAGCTTCTGTATTCAATATGTTGGTGTGCCATACGAGCACGATAAGCTCTCCAATGATAGTCCATGCATCGAGAACAGTTGAAGGTACGAGGTCATAAATTAAAAATGGCATCACTTGCGCCAAACTCTTGAAATGTTTTCCAATCAGGCTGCCTTTATAATGGCAGATGTAGTCTGCACCGAGGCACGGAGCATTCAGTCCGTCAGTATCAACAGAATGGAGACGAGTCTGAAAGATGTCCATGAGCTTTGCTTTTTCAAGTAAAAATACCGTTTGTCCCCAAAAATATTTGACAACCCCAAGTAGCACTGTGTGCAAAATTTCTGTTGGCGTGTCCATGTGCATATTGAGGCCTACCAGCAGTGTTAACGAGAGGGTCAACAACATGGAAAAAAACTGACCATCCATCCCCAACAATGGGTTGATGGTGTCGTCGATCGTGTTGCCTCGCAGAAGTTCCTCAAATTCTTTCTCCAGTGCAGCTGTGACGTCAGCTTCGGACATTGCTTGAGTACCAGCTGCTCGTTTTCGAAGTTTCTTCCCAAGTTCCACGAGGGTGTTGATGATGGAGATGGAGGCCGAATCACGAATACCTGTTGTCGATACTGAGTTCTTGATTTTCTCTGTTGCACCAGACTTCAAAGCCATCTCAAACTGCTGTCGGATGTTCGCTGCAGTGCCTTCTGGTGTTCGCAGATTTCCCGACTACGGGCACGTCGTCAGGCATTAAAGTTTGATTCAAATACATGCTTACCGTGAACAGGCTACTGTAACCATCTTCGGACGCCTTGAATTCTTTCGTTCCGCCAGCATCGCACGTCCGACAGAAATAATTGCAGTTTAAGCCTGCGTGGCTGCATTCCTCTGCCTGCATGGGATTATCCCCCGATGCCGGATGTAGCTGCATCACTATGGATCATGTTAGAACTTCAATTTAGGCAAATCAACAAACCAACAAACGAAATCGACTGTTTCATTGCCCGCATTAGTTCCATCGGAGTGGCATTGGGCGAAGATGTGACGAAGCGCACAAAAAATTCCTTCTCCAACATCTCACGTGGTAAATTTGCGTTCGACATGTAAATTGCGTGGTGTTTATTCCACTGTTTGGATATGTTACCGGAGACGTCGTCCATGAAAACGATGAGAGGGACTGTATATACCATGCGACCGCTTGCTTTTTTGCGCATCGGACTTGCTGAAAGTGATGCATATTTCATTGATGAGGCTGTTATCATGTGAGTCCTGCGATCGCTGATACAAACAAACACATAACACACCTGTTAGCCCGCAATCAAGTTCACCCTGTGTCGCAGCTATGTCTTCAAATGACCGCATAAACGCGGACGTAGGAATGATCTCTTGTTCATCATGAACGATGAATCCGGCCTGTTATTTGAGTAGTTAGTATATTAGCTTATATGTCATTATAGATGAGCGACGACCACGTACATCTGTTCGTTCGACTGCCCGACCAAGTGAGTATAAGAGCTTCGTGTCCACATGCTTGTGGAGTTCGTTGTCGTCGTCGTCTGAGTCCACGGGAGGTGAAGCGTAAAAAAAGCGCTCTGGAATGAAGTAGTCTCCAGAGTTATCCTGTAGTAGTTCATCTGTAAAATAAATCGTTCCGTTCACTCGAATTGCTGGCGGTGACGGAAGATCTAACAACATCTTCGTCCCGTTGAAGACCTGTGACATGCCCTCGCCACCATCTTCGGGGTAATCCTTCATTGCGAACCGAGTTAAGGGATTCGAATAGTCCTAAATTTAATGTCACCTCTGCGCTCGCGTGGAGACGTGTAGGCTGGACACACCTTTGCAATCGCTTCTGCGATGTTGTTGATGTAAAATACATCACCAGAGCGAGATGTAACTTTCTGAGTCGGATTGCCGACTAGATTATCCAGGTATGTGTGGCACTTCTTCATCGAACCCAAAGAGGGGACATTCTGAGCGCCAAGATCTACAGCCCAATTGAGTATAGCTCTCTTCTGGGTCTCGGAGAACGGGAGACGGGGAGAGCTAAAAAGCAGGGACGTGAGGAAGTGCTTGACAGGGATGTAAGTAGTTGTCATGCAGATACAGCAATAAACATACGGCTTTCGAGGGCCACGGATATGTTGGGCTGTTCATCGAGACCGTATCGAAGTTCGCACTCGCCTTATCGTAGATATCATCTGGTGATGTTACTGAACACACGGCCCCACGAAGTGAACAATGATGTTACTCACTGGGGAGTTCAACACCGAAATTGGGAGCACTGTCGTCGAAGAGTTCGTGCTCCTCATCAGAGGACCGGGAAAGTGGAGTCGAGAATGGTAATTCACCCGACGCGAGGGTTGCTTGAAGTTCGGCGAATAAGTCCGTACATCCTCCTTCGAATTCAAAAGTGCGATGGCCGATTATCTTTTTCACGAGCTCTGATAATCTAACATCAGAGTCCACATCATTTGACAGTACTGTAACAGGTGCTGTAGGCGGTGGTACACCAGACTGCGCACCAGCAAGCGGTACATTAGAAGTGTCGTCCATATCCATGAAAGAGTCATCAGCATCAAAAGAGAAATCGATGTCAGCAGGCGGCGGTGATCCGGACTCCATGTGAATGACGTCTGAGTTGGTACCCTTCTCGCCCTGGACTGAATGCAAAAGCCTCCTCCTCGTCTGTCGCTCCGTGAAGTATCTAGTGTGACGAACATGGATTCCTTGTAGAGCGTGCTTCTCGGTATGTCGTAGCTCCATTGTACGGTAAATACCATTTTTCCGAGGGCACGCTGTACAGAGGACACGCTTTCGAGTAGTATCGCAGAATTGCAGAACTGTGGCCACCAAATCAGTACACATATAAATTGCGAGTATTTTAGGGAAAATATACCAGCGCCATCCACAAGATCAGCTGGATTCATGATGGGACAATAAGCACTTGATTCTGACTTGACTTGAATCTTGATGGCGAAGCGCCGGTCACATGACTCTTGACCGTTGAAATCAACAACTTGAAGTCCGACGCTCTCATGTCCCCTGCTCATCGTCGTCTTTATTCAATCCTCAACCAATGGAGTCTGAACTACGCACAAATATTGTGACCGTTTATCCGGATATTCAATACCAGGATGTCAGCACAGGTCCGCTCCAGTCTGTGCTCCTTACTATATGCTTTTCAGGGAGACTCCCAAGGCAGGTTATTGAAAGAAATATTGTGAGCTCTCGCCGTCCACCATCAGAACTGTTTGCTGATGATTGGTGTGCAACAGCCTGTTCAGATCGCGGTCTCTTTTCAGAGGAGTATGGGATCTTTGCCTCGCCAGTTGTGGAGGCCGCGTCGATGGATCTCTGTTCCAGTACTGGAGATTCAATGCACTCAGACTGCGCCGTAAGTCTACAGTCTTTGAAATTTCTTCTGAAAACTTACATTGCGCAGTCGGCCTGCAGCCACGGTCACGATGAGTCTCCTGCGCTCCCGGATGACATTCTTATCCCATTCCTGCCCCTTCAACACTTCGATTACTCTGACCAGGCTAAATGGGCCTTGCTTATGAAGGATATTGAAGGGTGGCTTGTTTCTCAGGTGAATTGCCAGACGCAGCTGTGGACATGGGGACGCGATGCGTTTTGGCTTGCTTTCATCGCGGCATATCCATCATTCCCAAGGGGCTTGTGGCCGAAGTGGGATTGCCGAATTCCTTTGGAGGGTACATTCATCGAGCAATGGTTAGAACGGTCAGGTGATGTCCCTTTGATGGAGGATCAAGATGTTATGAATGTATTGGCCGACATCTGGGCCGAGTTTGGCAAACATGCCGCCCTCTTCTTTCCCGATCCCCTCGTTGCCTCTGATTAATTCCAAGACATTTTTTCCTCCTGCGGTACAAATATTTTAGTCTTGTTAGATAGCTATCAGTGCATACTTTGAGTGTGTATACTACAGTACAGTGCTTATCTGCAATGCATACCTTGTTGTATCCTTTTGAGTAGCCCCAATCGCACCGCCAGGACACTTCAAAGAGATTTATTCGAATATCCGTCCGTCAATCTTCAATAGTGGCTTGCAGAGGAATTAATGGTGAGTGCTACATATAGAGGTCACTCAAATATAAGTACGAGCTCTGTCATAGGTCTGGCACAGGTATGCCGCGCGACCTGTGCCATATGACTCATTTCGATGTGCCTGACATGTGCGACCGCCAGGTCTGGACAAGCCCAGAATTGGGCAGCAAGATAGCAATAATCAATGTATTGTCCAGGATCGGGACAAAAGCTTCAAAAAGGACCAGATCTGTGAGCTTTACAGGATCAATTTATTATTTATGGGCCCAAGTCTGTATTCGAACTCGTATCAACCTGGTTGCCAGGCCATTTAAATCCTTTTCGCGCTAGCTCGGTTTCGCCCAAAGTGGCAATTGGCGGTGTACATGGTTTTATTTTATTTGTATTTTATTTATTTATTTTCAATTTCAATTTCAATTCGCTTGTGCTGTGGCTGTGTCCAGTAGGATGGGTTTACAGAAAACTGTAATTTTAACAGGCGCAGGTGTCTTCGTACTCGTCGCAGGTGCATCCTATCTATCTGACCAACCCATGCTCAATTCATTCCTTCGCCGTTTCACGACCTCCGCGTCGACTGCAAAGCCTCTGTGAGTAGACTTCTCCCCACTAACTCACAAAAATTGATTCGATATGTTACCAGGTCTTCGCGTGTCTTCGTAAGTTTCAACAAATGTTCATGACTGTCATCAGAACCAAGTTTCTATAAAATACAGTTCGATGTTGCCATAGACAACAAGCCTTCAGGACGTATAACATTTAAGCTGTACGACGACGTCGTACCCAAGACCACGAAGAATTTCAGGGAGCTTGCTACGGGCCAACACGGATTCGGCTATGCTGGAAGCTCTTTTCACCGTGTCATCCCCGCTGTGATTATATTCTCCCTCTTTCACACCTCCCATGGCTAACGGATATCGTCTTTTATAGTTTATGCTTCAAGGAGGTGATTTCACGCGGCACGATGGTACTGGTGGCAAGTCGATATACGGCGAGAAGTTCGCAGGTCAGTTCCTTTAAAGTTCTATTTTCTTTTTATGCCATAGCTGATTGGATGTATAGATGAGAATTTCAAGCTGAAGCACGAGAAGCCTGGATTGTTGTCCATGGCTAATGCTGGCCCGAACACTAACGGTTCTCAAGTGCGTGCTTATTTGGCGAATCTTGGATTAGATATTGATGTCTTGCAGTTCTTCATCACAACCGTGGTCACGTCGTGGTTGGATGGAAAGCACGTTGTCTTTGGTGAAGTAGAAGAAGGGATGGAGATTGTGAGGACCATTGAAGCTCAGGGCACGAGGAGTGGACGGACGAACAGCAAAATCTCTATAACAGCGTCTGGTACTGTAGAGTGAGGAATGGTCTGCTTAGCATTTCCTTTCGATATCTTACACGACATTGTTGCATTGAATTCACGCTAGATTCTTATTCTTCCCGTTCAAGCAGCTGACGGTTGCTTACTGATGCCTACACTCTTCCGTGAGAAGTCTCGATATTATATTTATTAGCTGTACAGCGAGCTCGTTTTACCTCCTGACGATTCAGACATGGCTTCCACCATCGCTGACCTTCCAGCAGAGCTCATTGAAGCCGTGCTCATCGTGTCCGCAGCCTCCGAGAACCCAAATTCCATAGCAGCGCTCTCCCAGACCAGCAAGTTCTTCCACGACCTAATCTACCGCTGCCCAGACCAGCATCTCTGGCGCGAGATCTTTCTTACTACCTTTGATGATCCTAGACCAGCTCTGAACCATCTGAGTACCATATCAGGTGGCCACCCCAGCCGGGAGTTCGACTGGACGCAAGAATACATTGACCGTATTAGCGCAGCTAGGTGTATCAGACGTCCGGCCCAATTGACAGCCCCAGTATGTTCACAGCCGGAGGCCCTCGGCATCCCAGCGTCATTATCCGTCCTGAAGGCGTTACTCTCAGTCATCACCACTTCCATGCCCTTCCCATCCTCCCCGCCCATATCTCTCACCATCCTAACCGAGTTTCCCGAGTCTAATTCCCCTTACGCACCTATGTTCAACTCTCCCCCGTTCCCACCCCTGCTCCTCCTGCTTACAGCTGACTACACTGGCATGCTCAAGAGTGTCAATGTGACGTGGCTTCAAGAGTTATTAGAAATCGGGTTCCCCCCTGAGCTCACACGCACGCTACTAGCAAAGCTGTCCTTTGATGTCCAAGGTCATGCACCGCACCACCCTGTTCTAACTCCCGCATCGCACTGGGACGGATCAGAACTCGGCCAGCTATTCCACAAACTCATCTGCTGTACCGGATTTATACCCATTTCCGCACCAGCCCCCGAGCTCGCAGACCCATCCACTCCCAACTCTCCAGGACCAGCAGATATACCCGTTCCTGGAGCCTGGCCAGTTGCATCTGCGTCTGACGAGGACGAGGATCTACCTCCCCTGCCCATTACACGCCCACGACCCATGTTATACACCGCTGTAGAGCAGTCCGCTGATGCTCGCACCCTCGCACGTAGGCGGGTCTACGATATGCGCTACATCGGACCCGCACGCATGTGGGGTCCCTACCAGCACGTGCAGCGCGACCCTAATAGCTCCCCCGAGTCAAACCAACCTGAAAGCCCGGACGATGACGAAGATGAAACCAATGAAGACGACGAAGATATAGATGAAGATGACTTGGGGTTGTTAAACTTGGGACTGATGAACGGGAACCGTGTCCCTGATCTGAGCCCGCCAATCCAGCCGTACGAGCTCGTACCGGACTATGTGTGGCTCGCGTCCGCGCGTATCGTCGTGGAGGCGAATCTGAGGGATGTATTTAGGCTGTCGCCCGACCCAACTGCATTCTCGACAGGCGATATCTTACCATATATGCGCAAGATGCATACGATGTGCATAGGTGGGTCGCCTGGGTATTGGGAAGCGTGGGCAAATCGACCTGAGAAGGGGGAGGGATCCGAGAAGAGTGGGAAGAGCAAGCAGGGTGAAGTTGAGGGATGGGATTGGGCGGGTATCAGTGGTACCTGGAAGTGAGTTTCAAGCTATGCGTTCTTTTGAGAAGTTCAATTCTGTTGATATATGCAGACGGTGTGTTTGCTGGCTTGATTACCGAGAACTCCTGGGTAAGTGCTCTCAATTCGTCCTACCCCGTCTCGTACTGAACGCTCCCTTGCAGTACACAACGTGAGACACATCATCTAGCAAACGTACCCTCTAATTCGTCACTACTATAGCTCGCACCCGAAAGGTTCCTCGAAGACGGCATGCAGGAAGCTTGCCGAATCATACCCCTCGCCATTCGCATAACTGGCTACTCCGAATCTCCCATCCCACCAGGCAGCACCACCCGCCCCCTTCCAACCATCCACGTCGAGGGTGAATCCATAGGGTCTGACCGCAGTTTAAACGACTTGCGCAAAATCAAAGGTACGGTGAGCGTAATTGGCAATGGGGCTATCCGATGGCAGATGGTGAGTTGCTCTTTTCGCGCTTTGTAGCCTGCGTGGTTCGTGATACCTTGCGTATGTATTGCTGATTAATTAAAAGGTATCCTTTGCACCGGGGTCAAATGAGCCTGAGTGGTCATCGGAGGCGGTTCAGATTGGCGGGTCGGGTGCGGCGGTTGGGTTCTTGGGGATGTGGACGGGGGCGCTGCATGAGAGGCCGGACCCGCTTGGTGAGTTGTTGGTGTTTTGCTGAGCGTGTTTGTTTGTTGATGCGTGCGCGTAGGTCCGTTTTGGGCTTGGAAGGTCGCGTGAACTGGACTTGCGGTATGCGAGTCTGTGAGTTTGGTTATGATGGATGTCTGGGTAAATCTGAGGTAAATGTCTGTTAGTTTGGGGATGGCTTCCGCCATTTGGCCTAGGAAGCCTGGTTTACGGGTTGCTGTGATGGGGGTTATCGATTCCTCGTATCTCTGTATGAGGAGACACGTATATCAGACCTCGAGCTTGAAATCACATAGAACGGACTGCAGCACGACTCGACGAGTAACGCAGCAATTGATATATACATCATGATGTGGTTAGTTGTGAACGATATGGTGAATTGTTCGATGTAGGTGCTACGAACAACTCTAGCAGGCTTTGTAGTGGGATGCTCACGTTTGACAGGGAACATTATAGCATATGCATTGTCCCAGATACATCTATGCATACTAGGATTACTCTACAAGAAATAGCCATAAGGGGCATAATGGTCATAATGGTCATAATGGTCGTGTCTGAATATGCTATGAACTGGTATAGGATGCGGATGTGAACAACACAAGCTTGGATAAACAAAGAAACATATAGTCTCAAGATGATGATATTACAGCGGGAGAGCTGCGGTATCCATAACAGGTGAACCAAAAAGGTCCGTGTCTTCCTTCTCCTCCTCCTCCTCGAAGATTGAGAAGTCTTGCGCGGTATCCATGACAGGTGAACCAAAAAGGTCCACGTCTTCTTCTTCTTCCTCCTCAGAGTCCTCGAAGATCGACAAGTCTTGCGCGGTATCCATGACAGGTGAACCAAAAAGGTCCGTGTCTTCTTCCCCCTCCTCGAAGATCGAGAAGTCTTGCGCCGTAACAGGCATGGGAGGCACATCAGAGGAATAGTGGGGCGTAGAGTGTGGTACATGTGGCGCCTGGACATTGAAAAGTGCGTCGGTCATGGATATAGTGTCCTGCGCGAAAACAGGGAAGGATGAGGCATTCTTGGTCACTGAGTTCAGTCTTGGGGTCTGAACAATGGGTTGCGCGCCAGAGCCGGAAGCAAAGTTCGGCCCGATTACAACTGAGGGCGGGGATGCCTGGGTCTCCCGTGTTTTCCCCTTGAATGTGGATCGCCATTGGGGTTCGGTGACTGGCAGTGGTGCCGCGGAGGTGCTGGCGAACATCTTTTTTTCCTGGTTCCTGGCACACTGCTTAGATTTCGCATGACGCTTGAGCCCATCATTGCGACTTAAACTAGTAAGAATAGATATATCAGCCCCGCGGTCACATTTGAAAGCAGGGGTACTCACTAGGAGCCACAGGCTAGGCACAGCAAGTGATTGTTACGCTGGTTATGTATGTTTGATTTCTTGTGCTCGCGCACGCTGCTTCGCTTGAGAAGGTCTTCTGTGCAGTGACGTCTCAAGCATTTGTACTTGATCACGCCATCGTCGAGTTTCTGTTCCTGATCAAACAGCTGTAAGCGGGATGGCGAGAACCAAAGAAATATTTCACTCACAAATTCTGGATCGTCCTCAGGGCGAATGCAGCGTTGTCTCGGTGTCGTCTTTCGTGCCGCCCCATTACCATTCACCGCCTTGCCCTTGCCCTTGCTCTTGGTGGTGCGCCGCACTGAGCCCCCCTCAGTTGCGCCTTCAGATGGCAATTGGGGCATGAGTCCCTGGTCGAAATGTTGGTTGTGACCAGGGTGCTGCTGCATGAGCAGCGCCTGAAGTTCTTCCAGTGTGTGCGAAGCCAGATAATTGTTTACCGCCTCGGAGGGTCCGGGCAGTTGCGCTTGCATGACTGGAACGTCAAAAGCGCCCGCGGCGGCCTGCACCTGCGGGAGGGAACCTGCGACTCCAGAGTTCGCGGTCATCGCAGGAGCGAAAGTAGTCTGCACTGGAGGAGAGTAAGACGGCATGACACCCATAGCCTGAGGGCCCGGGGCATATCCACCATAATGTTGTGGAGGGTTCGGGCCCATGACCATACCCGACTGAGGGACATAAGTGTTAGGTAGGGGAGCAAGACTTGCAGGCCTCATCATGTTCTGCAGATAAGCTTGGCCGTATTGTTGTTGTCCATATTGTGCCCCGCCAGCACCAAACATGGGAGCCATTCTGTAGTCCACGTTGGGAGCTGGCCCAAGTGCAACGCGGTTTTGATACATTTCGGGAGGATACATTCCAAACCCGGGCTGGAGCTCAGGTTCAGGTTTGGGAACGTTTTCTTGCTGAACTCCGTACTGGTGCCATCGATTGTCGACAGCAGTGCCGAAATTGAGGTTCTCGTATTCGTGCTCATTGTATAGAGCGTTCGATGAGGAGAAGGTTTGGTCCGTCATTGGATCGGATTGAGATGGTGAAGATATGCTGAGTGACGCGGTCTTGGCCTGTGGTTGGACCAGGAAAGTGACAGAATAGGAAGTCAGGAAACAAGGGTGTTAGAGCACAAGTTAGACACTTGGATGCGGAAGAGGAAATGCGATTGGTGGTGAAGAGGAGGAAAGGGATACAAGTACCACTATTTATGCTGCTGAGCCGCCCGCTTCAAGTAAATAAATGAAGTGGGTCACCTACACTGCGGCGTGTCCCTCCCCTTTCTCGAGTTCTGGTCCACAACTTGTTGCCCAGGCAAAGCGGACACAGCGCACGAATTGGAGTAATACATACAAAGGGACGCATCCGCCATCCTTTCATGCGCGCTGGTTCTGTTAACGGACAATAGTGAAACATGCAGGCCATTCGGATATTCCCCGCGCGACTGTGGAGATATTCAATTTGATCGTTGATCGCCGATCATCAGAAAACAGAAGCATTGAACGCAACGCGCTGGAGCTAATCACTGAGTACTTTCTCTTTTGGTTGTATATGTTTTGATTTTCGGTGTGCATAGGGACTCGCCGCGTTCGCCAGATCCTGCCGGTAGTCATCGGCATCGAAAATCGCAGACTCGAAAATCTGATTCACAAAATTTATCAATACAAAAACACCAGACAGGGGATCGCATGCTTATTGATAGGAATGAAAAAAAAAAAAAAATCGTGTCCAACCACGAATAGAAGGACGTATCTTTCCAACGCGTCTCCGCCAAGAACAGGCCATAAGAGCCCACGACCCATCCAACACCTCTCTTCTCTGTCAATTAACAGTCAGTCATTGTGCTCTTATCAAGCAGGTATAACTTACTGCCACCAGATCAGAACATTGAAATTAGATCCACATTCAATTACGACACATGGATTGCAACCCAGAGCAGGGTCTCGCCTGCATAATAAACAGATAGGTGGATACTGACGGTGCTGGACAACTTACCCGAAGTAGAGAAGACTAATCACCTCACCGTGTCAGTCTGGCTCACGTGCTCAGCATCTGCAAGTGCGGGGTTAACTTCATGTGTGCGGCGGGGCACGTCAGATCACATCAAGGGATCATGTAAGAAACATACCATCAATTCAATGGCAATGTCGGTCTCACGAATCGTATCGCAGATGTAGTGTCCATCGCGGAAGGTGAGACTGCCGCGCACCTACAGAATTTTGGTTAGCGCTGATCATCGACTTGACATTTGATTTGACTTGGGATTAATTCGCTAGGAATACATACGGTCTCCCCACCGTGAGCTTGGGTATTCCAACCAAGGGTCAAAGCATATATGAAGTCCCAATGAAACCCAATAAAACAGGACAAACGCAGTATAAAGGGCCTGCACAAGCCAACGTCTATCGTTTCCGGGCGTGGCGCACTTCTAAGCGTCTGCAGGATCAGGATACGTGGAGAATGATGCACATTTTCGTGTATATTTTCACACCTCAAAACACATCCCCATCAAAAGGGATTTTTTTCGATACGCACAGAGTCAGCAGAGGCGCGCAGATCAGACGACTGAATCCATCCCAGTCAAAAAGCAGGTGCCAAGACACTGACTAGCGAAAATGAAAAGACTTACCGGTGTTCCCGAGACGCAAAGCTCGGATCGAACGCGTCAACTTTAAAGCTCAGGTAACCAGTGCGGCCTAATTGTGCTTCACATGGTCGAAGGCTCTTTCAACCATAGCTATGTCGAGTACAATCAGCGTCTGCGCCCTTTCCTCCCCATGAAGATCCAACTTACCGATCAACCTCATGCACACCAAAGGCCTTACTGGGGTGTTACTTCAACATCTCCTTCTCGCCTTGTCCACATCCCGCAAACCAACGTAGACGAGACCCAGTGGAACTTTGCAAGGACGGAGAGTCTGGTGATGGATGGGGCATGCCGTTGATATTTCGGCTGTCGGTGGACTGGACTGTGTATACATCCTCTATCCAGATGACGGCACACTTGGCCGTATGCTTTGTGGTCCCAATGTCACCTCCGTGGAAGAACCTAGTATAAACGGAGAAACTCACCTCAGGGTGCCTAAAGTGCCCATGCCCAAGAAATGGTTCCCGCCAAGGGTGACGGGTGCGTGTCTTTCCTGAGTGACTGGTTATGTGCTTGTTCACGAAGGGAATGTGCGGGGTTCCTTCATGTCTGGGCGCTTGTTACAAGGGTTTGCATGTCGGAGAGGGGATTTCTTTATGTACTGCAGACGGGGCATGCGCTGGAAGGCACTGAAGTTCCATATGTGAATGCTGACTAGCGAGTATTGTTGATGGTAAACCCTGTCCGATATCATACTTGGGTGAGTCGTTCTCTGGTCAAGTCATAGTCACCTTGCACAGTAAGATGTTCGAGCGTCAACTAGCTAGAATAGAGTCGGGCAAGACTCGTTGAAAGTTGAAACAAGGTCATGAAGTCTCAATGGCTTAGTCAGCACTACGGTCGATCTCCTAGTCGATCTCCACTTATCACACTCTCACTGGACTATCTTGCTTCCAAATCATACCTGCAGCTGGATATATTAACACTTTGTTGTGGGCCGCAGATGGTAATTCTCAATTCGTGCGCGCCCATTCGTATGGGTTGTTCCCCGATGATCGATGAAGGTAACTCGACGGGTTAGCCCAGTCGCTTAGTAAGCACATGCATGTGTGAGGTAGGCCGCAGCAAACGTTTTCTAGTATCTGCAGGTCATCCGTAGGCCGCGTACGTGTCTTTCCTCATGGTATCGTTTGTCTTTATTGTCATATCGTACATTAGCTGAAGGCACAAAGTCAGCACTTTTCAACTTTCAATCCCTGCTTTTGGTCATCTTGTTGATGATCTGCACTTGCACCTACGTTCGAGCAGTTGCCCCACGTCTAGTCGATAGAAATAAAGCAGGGTATGTTGCTCTTGATTACTGTGAGAGAGTCCATGAATGCTGAGAAAGTAAACAGATTCCTCGGACTATTCTTCATGTCTGCGCGGATAGGTGCGTGTTCATACAGGCGATTTCCTGCCCGGCTTCCTCAAGAACAGCCGGCATTCAACGTATTCACAGGAGAACGCCTCTCCCCATACGTTGCATTAGCATGCGTGGCCATGGCGGCGACAATGATCGTACAGTAATCATACAGGATTATATTATGTGTACAGTGATGAAGTTGACCTATTCGCCGTCCGCTCGACTACCGACGTGCCATCGCGGAACCGTGTTCGGAATAGTACGTTTGCATTTGTGAACAGGCCCTCTTTCAGTGACACGACAATAAATTGGGAGCCCTTAAAACGAGTTCGGAATAGGTGGCCAATGTGTTGGGTATGCGAGAGGTCGAGAGCAGCATCGATTTCATCAAGAATGTACATGGGCGCCGGCTTGAATTGGAGAAGGGCCATGATGAGAGAAAGCGCGATCAAGGAGCTGTGCAACCTTTGTCAGTCTCATAATTTTACAGATGCCTGTTCCGTACCGTTGGCCACCACTCAATTCAGTTAGACTTTGTTTCCAAACAGTCCCCAGCTGTACTTTCACCTCAAGTCCCTGCATTAAGTCTTGACCTTCTGGAGGCTGAAGTTTGGCGAAGTTGCCAGGCAGCAGTTCGGCAAAGATGCCACCAAAGTCGCTACAAAAGTGGGTGAGCGACGACGGGCTGACGGTGAAGGAATCATCGTACCCGTTCACTTTCTCCCATGTCTTCTGGAGAGCATCACGCTTATATCGGTCTAACTCCTCTATGGTGTCCTCAATCTTTTCTTTATCTTTCAGAACTGTGGCCAACATCTTCTTGAGGTCCAATTCCTTCTTCTCGACACTAGTCGCAAGTCATTCAAATCAGATCAGCTCCTGAACAGTCAAAGACTCACGTGTCGATCATGTTCATGACCTTTGGGTTGACTTTCTTTTTCATTCCCTTCTGCTTCTCCTCAAGTTCGTCCGCTTTGGCTCGCAATGAAGGCATATCTTGGTCAAACTCATACTGTGAGCCGGATTTGCCAAATGACCTTCGAGAACGTCAAGCGGGTTCAAGAAAAGATCAAGGTATCACTCACTGATATTCATCTCGGATCCACTCGTGCTGCTTCTCCAAGTCGGTCACAAACTTGGCCTGTGTGACTTTATCTTTTTCAAGTGCGACAACGTCGTGCTCCAACTTTTTCAAATCGATTTCTGCGTCGGATACCCCCTTCTTCTGCTCACGAATGGCATTCTCCAGGTCCTTGAGCTCGTTATCGAATTGAGTCAGCGTTGCCCGTTCCTCCTGAAGCTTTTGCTCTGCTCTTGCGTGGTCCGCCTATGTCGCATGAGAGGCCAGGACGCTGACATGGGAGAGAATCGTACCTCGTGTTTAGCAAGCTTAGTATTGAGCGCTGCCAGGTCCTTGTGAAGCTTGGCCATTTGGGCGTGAGCACCTTTGATGTTGTCTTCGGCTTCCTTGATATCATTCTCCATTTGTTCTAGGAGTCATTAGCAAGCAGAATAAGAAATTCGAACAGCTTCTTCTCACCAAGCTCGAGTACGGCGGTTTGATGTTCCTTGTGTTGGGTCTTTACTACAACAGCTTGTTTCTGAAGAGCTGCCTTCTGCTTGCTAATCTCGGCCTGCATAGTTGGTCAGAGTGCGTTACGAAGGATGGGGGGGGTGCTCGCCTTCAATTCATTGATCTTGCCTTCCTTATTATTTTTGAACTCGTCCATGTCCTTTTCGAGCTTACTGCACTCCCCCTTGGCGGCCTTTTGCTTCTCCTTGGCTGCCTGGACAGCCAATTTTAAAGCATCGATCGTCTTCTTCAGCTCCTCCACCTCAGCACCGAGCTAGACAATGTTAGATATAAAACATTGAAGTGAATAGATAGTGACGACTATACTCACCCTTACGGCGTCGCTCCCTTCTGCCTGCTGCTCCAAAAGACTGACTTCGTGTAGCTTAATGTCGAGTTCGCGAGTGAACTTTCTCCAAGATTCTCTCTTCTCTCGGTTGGCCGCCTCTGCTCTTTCAAGTTCACTCAAACGAGACTGTGCTTCTCCTAGCTTACGCTCTGCCTCGAGGAGTTCCTGCACCCTTAATAGCGTACCGCTTCCGCTTGGAGCCGCCCCTCCACTAAGCGTACCAGAGGGGTCGTACAGGTCGCCGTTCAAAGTGACGGACCTGACCTTTGCACCAAATGTGACAGCATTGGCAGCTTCAGCGTCCTCACAGACAATGGTGTCACCGAAGACGAATGCCATGGCGCGAGCTACTTCTTCTGGGTAGCCGATGAGCGATAATGCCAGGTTGGCTTTACCCGGTGCAAGCTGATTAACCTGCGCTAATTTCTGGTGAAGGGGTGAGCACCCTTCACTGGTTGCGCTACTGAGAGACACACCTGGGCACTTAAAGCGAATGAATTGATTTTGTTAAGTGGAATGATAGTGACGCGCTTCTTTAGCTTTCCGTTCTGGAGGAGGTCCTTGCCGACTTTCTCATCTTCGACAACGACGTTGTAGAGCTTGCCTCCGGCAACGATTTCTAGTGCCTGGGATTTGTTCTGGTGCTGGGGAGGGAGCGAGGTCAAGTTAGCCACCAACCCCTTCACCTTGGTGCGGTCGAAATTCGGGTATGGCATCGAGTAATCAAAGTTCAATGACGATAGGCGCTGTTTGACTGCATCGCGCCCCTGTATGACCGTTATACAATGGCATAAAATAGGACATAGAGCATACCTCGGTAAACTGCCGCACATGTCCCCTCGCGGTCGCTAGGGAGACTTGGCTTTCTTGCTCTCGTTCGGCACTCCAACCACAGTCAGCGACTCTGCGCTTGAGCTTCTCGGCTTCCGCCCGCATGTTTTCCATATTACGCTTCCCTTGTCCGGCTTCCTTCTCTATGTCTTTCCACTTAGCTTCCAATGTTTTCAGCTCCTTCTCACTCATGTTGAGTTTGACGCGATTCTGCTCTTCCTCGGCCGACCCTTGGGCCATGCGGGCTTTTGCGTCTGCAAGCTGACCCATGTAACCACCTCCAGAGTTTCCGGTATTGCTTGATGAGAGACCAGTCAGCAGCGTCTGCAATAGCTCCTCGGATTTCGAAAGCGCTCCTTGGGTTTCGTTGTGCTTCGCTTTGACGGACATATAAGAAGATTCAAGTTCTTGAGCCTGAGTGCGCTTCTCCTCGAGGGATTGAAGGAGCTCTTGAAGCTCTGTCTCGGCACTAGCGACACTTTTGTTTTCGTCGGCGATATTACCGTTCGCGAGGTCGACTTGGGTTCGAACTTTCACGAGCTCCTTTTCCAGGAGCGTTACTTCTTCCTCCATCTTCTTGAATTTGCCGCCTTTCTTTCGCTCTGCCTCCCGTTTCGCGTTGACCTCCTGCATTTCCTTCTCGGCTGCCTTCGTCTCCTTGATAAGCTTCTTCTTACGCTTCTCTGTCGCTTCCATCTCTGCTCTCTTGCTCTCGATATCATCTTGCGCCTTCTCAACCCTTTTGTTTGCGGCTGTCCATTCCCAAGCGCGCAGTTTCCTGCCAATCTTCTCCAGTTCCGTCCGGGTCTTCTGGAACGCAAGAAATTGACGTTTCTCTTCCCGGAGTTTATCCAGCTTAGGTGTAATCTCCTCCTCAAGGAGAGACGTTATCTCCTGCACGCGCTTCTCCTTCTTTGACATCGTCTTCTTGGCCTTGTCCTTTCGATCCTCGAACATGCGGGTACCTGCAGCTTCTTCAACCATACCAAGAATTTCTTGTGGACGCATGTTAAGGACCTGGTTAAAAATATTCAAGCCAGATGTGCGAAAGCGATGGAACTGAACTTACCTTCGTGATGCGGCCTTGCATGATGAGGAAATTGGGATTGTTAATATTAAGCTGTACACTCTGGAACAAGGTCTGAATATTGCCCTGCTGCGATTTGTGACCGTTCAGGAGGTACTTTGATATATTTGGAAGCGCTATCTGTGTAAGACGTGAGTTTCAAGCCCAGAAGTACCGCAGTGGAGTGGTTATGAACGCACTTGACGCGTGACTGTAATCTGCTTCAAGTTCTCAAATCCAACCGGACTCTTCTCTCTATCTGAGTTGTCAAAGACAATTGTTACGCTGGCCTTGGTAACACCAGCCTGGCCTCTCTTATAAATAAGATCCTGCTGGTTTTGAGCTCGCATCTGCGGCGGGTGAGTGAGTGCGCCAGTTAACTAATATGAGGCAAAGAGAGTTCGTACTCACTTGAGACATATTGGTTATACCAAGAACAAAGCAAATCGCGTCGAGTATGTTGGACTTGCCGGATCCATTGAGGCCAGTGATAGCATTGAATGATGAATCCCAGCCCGTGATCTGAGTCCGGACTGGATATGATTTGAAACCTTTGGGGCAAATGACATCCGGCAACTGATTAAATTACTAGAAGTCCTACCTTCGACCACGAGTTCTTCTATCCGCATGATTGAAGTTTGGTGTTGGATATGGTAAGACGCGACGCGACGCGTGTTTGTAGCGGAGATCCATTCACATTGCACGTGACCAGTTTGACATGGAGATTTCAAGCCAAAAATATTACGTCAGTTATTAATATTATGTGCTAATCGGCAAGTTACACCTGTGGGCCCAGGAAGCGTCTATTGCGCGGTGGATTTGGCGTCTATCAATTTAGCCGCCATGATGCTTCTCATGCGTCAGGAATGCAATTCAAATGGTTGTCTCCTCGTACTTCCATCCAGCCTTCAATACTGCTTAGTCGACGCCGAATGTAATATTGTGTCGATCAAAGCGCTCAGGATTTTTAGCACGGATTTGCACAAATACTCCTTTTTCGCTTCATTTTTGCGTCAAACTTCAACACACATTTGACCATGAAGCTGAAGCTTGAGGGCAAAGAGATCCTCCCTTCAAACTTACCAACTAGATTGTTGGTAATTTGGCCAAAACAACTGTCACCTATAACTCAGTGTTCTGCCTATCATGTCGTTGTCAGATTCAGATGTCTCTGACTTGACAGATTTGTCTTCTGACGAAGACGACTTCCCTCTATCCAAAACAACGAGGACAACGGCGTCAAAGAAAAGCACTAAAGAATATAAGATTTCTGGTGTTCTGCGCGCGCCGCGGACCACATCATATACAGCCAAATCACTCTACGGTAAGGCGAGCGGCTTACTAGAGGCGTTTGTCGTGCATGACCCTTCTTACAGACCAAATCATCGACAATGTGATTGACCTTGACCCAGAATACCAACGTGGTGAGTCTCTCGCCCTGAAAGCACCCCCCAAACACGGCTCTCATTTCCACTTTGCTCGCAACATCTTCTGATGTTCCATCGTGTTCGCAGATGTTGTATGGCCAGAGCTAAAGCAGTCTGGTCTTATTGACTCTATGTTGCGAAACTACTACATGCCTCCAGTTATATTTGGCAAGTCCATTTACCACCAAGACTCGACCCATGCATTGACAAAGGATGTATAACTAGCGGTATCAACAGCCGATGATGGTAGCGAACTGCGAACTTGCATTGATGGGAAACAAAGGCTGACTTCAATACAGAGGTATATACAGTAAATGAACGGGAACAATTCGCTGATATATCGTAAACTTCAGGTTTATAGATGGGCAGGTTTGTAATACCATCATCTGCAGTGTCATTGCCTCGCTAAAATTGGATTTACTAGATACCACGTTAGTTGATACATGCTTTTGCTGCATACACTCACTCAATTTCGCTTTCTATCACAGATAAAGATTCGTACGTCCCTTTAAGCCCCCTCTGATGTACATTGTTCAATACTGTCCAGGTTTACAAACGAAAGGCTTTGGTACAGATTGAGCGCCACTAAGGCTAGACGAAAGCTCCTTCCGAAACAACTTATCAATCAATTTGCGAACAAGCAGATTGTATGCGTCGAGTACAGCGACATCAATCCAGATCAGGAGCGTGAGATTTTCCAGGTCAGTGCTGGAGCCTCGTTGCATACTACTAGCTCACAGGATGATTAAGAGGGTCCAACTAGGCGTTGCACTTACTCCTGCGGGTCAGCACTGCATTTCGCATCATTATGAGGTAACCTGACGCACACGTTGTAGAACGCATGCAAGCAATTGTTGGCCCTTGGCCCACGGTCATTCGGGAGATTCAAAGTCAAGTACTTGGCGAAGATGGATTTCAGGGTTACCTTGACTGGGGTCACGCACGAGGACGTGACTTCCAATGTGTGGCATCTATAGGCTACCTCATTGAGAACCATCCCAAGCCCACTGTTCCCTCCGCCCCGACACTTGAAAAATGGCTCTTGAAGAGCGACCCTGTCTCTCCGAAGCTCCGCGAGGACTTGCTAGACACGTTCCGTGTCTTCCTCGTCCTAGCTCGGGACCAGAAATACAGTCGCTCGCTTAACAAGCCTACTCGAGTTTCTCCCATAGAGTTTGTGATGATCGGTGTCCTAATTTACCTCTTCCGTGATCGTCTGTCGCTTACTCAACTCTCCTCTGCCATCGAAAAGATGCGAAAAGACGTACGCGATGTCCACCAAGATATTCGGGCAAACGGCAGAATCACCAAGCATATGTTGTTGTTCATGAGCGACAGGCTCAAAATATCCGACCTAAGAACCGATGGGGAAGGTGATAAACCTGCCGCTGGAAGACCTACACAAGCCAAGAAACGGAAGAGGGTTGTGGAATATGATGATGACAGTGAGGAGGAGGAAATGCCTCGCAAAATAACCGCCTCCAAGGCACCACCCGCTGCATCTTCGAGTGAGCCGTGTTGTCAAACTTTTGTTGATAAACCGTTCATTGACTACTTGCATATAGCTTCAAAATCAAAGTCTTCAGGATCTGCTTCCCAAAAGAAGATTGAATCCAAGTCAAATCCTGTGACAACAAAACTGTCAGCTGCCCCTGTAGTGCCCCAATCAAAACAAAAAAAAGCATCCCCAGATGCTCGACCACCTGTTAAAAAAATATCGCAAACTCCAGTGCAGGGAAAAGCGCCATCTCCAATATCCGCTCCTCCCGCGGCATCAACCAGGCCATCGTCACCTTTCACGCAAGTACCTCCCCTCCAATTGAAAAAGGCAATTTCGGCCCACCCTACCAGACCTTCCCCTGCACCTGTTAGGACCGAAGCTCGGGTTTCTCCAGCAGTAAAGTCGGAGCCACGTATGGCTTCGATATACCCTTCTCCCGCGATTCCATCCAGTGTACCAGCGACTGATAGGCTTGGTCCTATTCGAGCTGCGAAAGAGGCTATTCGAACAAATACTGGTTCTCAGATCCAGTCTCCTGTTGCTCCTCACGCAGAGCAGGGCACGAGTTTCGTGTCAAATCTTGGCTTGAATGGTTCGACAGCTACGCGTGATCCTCGCCGTGCTGGGCCATCTCCACCGGCTGTCGCTGTTCCGCCACAACAAAGCCCAAACCCGCTATATGACGGTATGGGGCAACCATTCCAAATCAACCCCGCGGAGGTTGAAGCTCTCTTGCGGGCACGTGGACTCATGGTGCCTCATAATCAACAAATGACAATGAACTCCCCTATTGCGTTGCCTGAACAGGCTATGGCAGCTGTGCAGTCAGGATTGAATATTTTAAGCGGGGTTAGTGCTTCTACTCCTGGTCCTTCGAATTTTTCGCAGGGCGTGTCTGCCAGTGGTTCCGGGCAGGGTATGCAGCCGGTTCCGTTCTTGCAGTATTCCCAGGGAGGCCCGCAAGCCCCGCTGTACTTCCTTGGCCCATCGCAAAATGGGTTCTCAAACGGGACTCACCCTGCTCCGCATCATTCCCTCCCACATCGGCCGTCATCAACTGCACCGGCCTCGATCAACACAGACGTATCAACTGCGCCGCCGCCGCATTCTGCGTCCTCTACTGGATCGTTCAAAGATGACCGACGATATAGTGACTATGGACGACGGGACTACTCGAGAGGCGGTGGGCCTAAAGACTATCGACGTAATGATTCCCGGCGGGATTCAGGTGGGTGGGACAGTCAGAGAGAAAGGGATGGTGGCTGGGGTCAAAGGGGGAGGGAGAGCTGGCGAAAAGCATAGGTGAGCACGAGTCCAAGTTGTGTCCATCCATCCCTGTATTTATTTGATGTTCAAGGCGTCAATCAAGGCGCTAGGAGGTATTCGGCAGTCCTATCAGCACCATGCGCTAGCCTCGTTCTTGAAGATTTCATTCATCTTGTAGCATGTTTAGCCCTTTTCATCATCATGACACCATGCTTCTCAGACTTCACTGCACCGCCGACTGGCTTCATTCATTATACCTATTGCAACCCGTTTATAATAGATCCATAACGACCACGTCTTGCCTCTGGCTTGTAGATAATGCTAATATGCATCATACCGTATGAACTGTATTGTGAGGGTTCTAGTGAAACAATATGCGTTTGAGTACAACATTCCAATGTCAATAAATCAGCCATAAATGGTCTATGACGAAACCTTAATTAGCAAATGACGATCATTAACCAGGGCAAGGCCACCATAGCTCCTATCAACGAGACATGAGGCCGAGCTTCGTGAGCGCTATTTGCACCCTTTGCCCCGTCTGCAACCCAGTCACGCCATGCAGCTTGCATCTCAAGGATGAACGCTTGTCCCTCTGGACTGTCAGAACCCTGCGCGCCATAAGCATATGGATTCACAACGGGTGTGAGCCATCCTTCCGACGTCAAGTGGAGCATGCCGGGCGTGGTCGTGCCCGTTGCGGGAGGTGCGGATGTTGTACTTGGCGCTGGTGACGTCGAGGTGTTGGTGATGGAGATAATGGCACCAGCAGTAGCTAAGAGCGCCTTGCGAACCTGTTCAGCGAGGGGGATGTATGTGTAGACGTTGGAAAGGAGGGACAACCGATAGACCGTGCTGGCCAGTAACGCAGCCGACGAGGTATCATAGAACGTGGTACTGTTATCAGCGTAATTATAGAACAATCCGTTGGAATTCTAATCTGGTGATGAGACATACTCTGCCAGACAGGTTTTGAGATTGGACGCACAATGTGGGTATACATTGCTCCGTGAATCTCTGACACCCAATTGGCAAGGTCGGTCTGTTGACTCTTAAGCATATTCGCGTACGGGGACCGTTGAATAGTCCCAAGGACCCGTATCATGCCTGCCGCCGCCCACGCATTACCTGTAATTGAATCGTCCAAGGGATTCCTTCTACGCTCAGGGGAACCTGCACACCTGTCGACCAGTGCCCATCGTCATTTCCTGTCTGACCAAGTTGTATATGCTTCCATAAATTTCCGGCCGCCGTGTCTCGAAGATATTTTCGGTACAAGCTGATCTGTGTGTATGCTTCAACCAAAATGGTCTGATTTTCCGTCAGGACGCCGTAATATGCCAAAAATGGAGGAACCATGTAAACGGAATCACTCCTGTGAGAGGATGTTAGCTATTTACGGGAGTGTCACCGCATGACTCTCACCAAAGCTGCAATTGGTCCACTCTGTGAGACAAGGCACCATCGCTGGTCTTAGACACGTTTTGGAACAGGTAGTCGAGTTGGTCCCGCGCAGCTCCTGCATAGTCTAGTCCATCCAATGCCCACTGCCCCGTCCAGTTAGCAAGTAACACAGCAACACCGATACTTGCTGGATCTCCTGCGCTCGTATCATTGATGAGGGGCTGGGGACCAGTGATATTGGACAAGCTTCGGGTGACGACGATGTTGTGTGCAATCGTGAACACTTCGCTAAGCGCACTTGTTAGATTGGATGGAATGCTCTGTGGAGGTGGGACGGGGTTGAAAGACACGACAGAGTATGTCGGCGCATTGAGCTCCAGGAGTGCCTCAGCTCGGGTTCCATACTCCCAACTGCAAAAATAAATGAGGTAGTGAGATTCATAATCTTTTGGGTCATCGAGTAGAACAAAGAAGTGGGACTACCCAATGTAAGATTTTTTGCGGCCTTTATTCACCTGTGCACTGCGCCCTGGGCCAGTCGCTGGCTGATAACGGATATCTGCGCACTTGTAAGGTTCTGTGCCCTTGCTTGACTGTACAACCCCAGTAAGAGGCCTGTCACAAAAAGCATCATGTGGAGTTGAAGGAGAGTGAATTTTCGCCCGAGGGACTGGGGCAACATTGGAGCAGACTGGCTTTAAATAACACCAGGTCCAGGTCCAATATGTCAGAGTCAGCCACATGCGACTTCCGGATAAATGCTTGGGACTGATTCCATGGCGGGCGACGTTGATAACCACACTTCAAGGGCCACTATCAGTGATGGAGAAAAATAGCGATAGTGATTGACGCCAACCGCCGTCACATTCGCTTTCTCCTCCACAGTCATTGGTGACTGGGAATCGTAGCGTCACGAATATATGACACCCGACATTATAGTCGATTGGCTGCTACGGTTGCTGGCTGCTGTAGCAGTTGACTGTCAAAGACATTCTCCGTAGTGATTAATTCCTATGATTTGCCTATGAGCCTTGACGATGGTATGGGACAAAGTAAGATCTTTGGTACGTAATTATAAGGATTAAAATGACTTATCTCTATCTATGGTCTCCGCCATTTGTTCTTAGCTAGTTCATCTATTCAACGGATTTTTCCGGGTTCCCGCCCGGGAAAATCCTTATGCTGGCCAATCCTCGCAGCCTGTGCTTCCGCGAGGCTAAGTGAGACCAATTAGAATGACTTTGATGTGATAGGGCAAGGGCGGCGTAAGTAGTTCTACTAATAGCTATACAGTCCCACCCTACCCGGTTACGCCGTGATCTGCTTCAATTCCCAAATTGTCGAGCGCCCGGCGCCCTCTCCAAACCCAGTAAGTCAGCGTCAGCTCATCATTGAACCACATTCCCACACTTTCTACACCAGCGCTTGGCGCAGCAGCAGGAACATCCTCAACCGAAATATCACCGGTGGTAGATTCATCATTCCCGGTCTGGATAACTTCCTTGTCGGTAGTAAGAACGGCTTGTGCGGCAAACGGTGCAGTTTGTTCCGCGCGCTTTCGCTCCTTCGTCGCGAGTCTTTGTGCTACCCGAAGCTCTTTCTCCGTGAGCGGCGCTTCCTGAGGGTCAGTTGGCAGTCGGAGATCCTCGACAATGCTTGCGCCCGAGGCTGATGCAGTAGCAATAGGTTCTCTTTTAGCCCCAAGAACAGGAACAATATCCCAAAGACCGCCGCTTTGTATCCACCCGGCAACACTGCTCTGCTTCTTGATCTCGTCCAGGACGCCTATAACTGCAAGAATGGTAGGATCATAGGGCTCAGCAGATGATTGAGATGATACGCGTGCTTCTTCCGCAGGTGGAATGGGGATGGAAGACCGCTCTACATGAGCTGAGGTTGATCCGACTACACTCAGATCAGAGTCTGAGGAGGGTAATAGTATCTCCGCCAGATTGGTTTGGTCTGGCACAGATTCATCCGTCTTCCGTTTCCGTCTTCGCTTCTTTAATTTGGGCATTTGCTGTTGTTCAGCCGCTTCTATCTTCTCGCGCTGAAACTGCTGAATGTCTTTTTCCCTAAATGAGGAACTATACTCGGGTATGCAGACATGATTGTATGGTTGGAGACGGGCCTTGTGAGGAGAGTCGTCGAGGAGAAGGGTGGTCATGGCGGAGTGTGCCACCGAAGGAGCCAACCCAGCTTTCTCAGCGGCACAATCCGCTTCTGATGTCACCGCGATCTCCGCTGGGTTGGTCCCTAATGGAAGCAATGTCCAGGGCTTTGTAAGATCCTTGGTCGTCAGCGCTTTCCGGTCTGTCAATAATATCAGTAAAGCCTAACATTGTCAATCATTCAAGGATTGGTGGCTAAATACTTACGATAGTCCTCCTTAGTTAGTCCCAAACTCCCGCGGTCCCAGACTGCGACAAGCTTGCTTTTGAAATCACCGAAAACCTTGTCGACCATGTCCGCCACACTATGGGGTTGTGCGGAAGACCAGACCATGGTGTCCAGCCATTCTTGAGTCTCTGGCGCGAATAGATACGCACGAAAAGCGGGTATGTAAGGACGCGGCTGCACCGCACGAAGGCGCGGTGCTGGGCCAGTTGGGATGCTGCCATGCGCGTCTTTCGGTCGTGCGCGTGAATGTTGCGACCGAATAAGTAGAGTGCCATTCAAATCTAGTATGAGAAGCTTTCGGGAGGTGCGAGGATTGTCGACGATGTGTGATGGCTCGAGTGAGAGTGCCATATACGCTGGATCTGGTTCCGCAGGCGGTGGAGGATGCGGCGTTGGAGATTTCATGCGCGGTGCAGGAATGGGATTCGAGTCGGGTGTTCGGCGGAACGAAGGCGAAGCAATATATGGGGCATGCGAATCAGTTCTTTGAGCACGTGAATGGTAATGTCTCTGCGGACTACTGCTTCGTTGCCTCCGCTGTCCTCTGTTAAAACTCTCGGCGTGATAGTAATCATCAGCATGTTCACGACTGCGATTGTAGTCGATGGGGGACTGGTTCTGATTTTGGCCGTAATACGGATCATTGTTGCGCCAGTAGTTATATCCCTGACTTGGCTGAGTATCTGCATAGTATCCGTTGGAGTAGTAGTTGTCTCCGTACGGCTGCCTATAAGAGCTGCCATAGGTCGGGTAGCTGGAACCACCGTGTCCGTAGTAGCGATCATCTTGGTTTTGGCTATAATTCCCTCTTCCGCGCCACCCGCGATTGCGTGACATCAGATTCGCTGTTCTGACTAGGACAAATGGGAAGGAGGTCCGAAAGGACGCCCACGAACGCAGAGAGATCAGCTTGACGGTGTAAACACGAGACACCGATTTACGACAATCTGATCTTTGACAATGCTGCGAGTGGTTGGTTGAAGTCTGTCGAAGCCAAAATTTACTGTGGGTAGGCGCTGTGATCTCTATATAGACATACTTGGGTTAGGGTTAATACATTGTCAAAGCCGGATCAACCGCCGCTTTATTATCAGCTCTATTCTAGAAGGGAAAACTAAACTTAGGATTACGCAGATCGCTACGCACATGGCCTAGCGATTATTTCAAACCCTCCGCGATAAGAAGAAAAATCTTACAGTTCGTCAAGAATTTAGATTTAGGTCATATCGATTTACAGGTCTCGTATATATCACATTGTCAAAATAGTAGCAAATTGGCAATCACCATGTCGTCGGACTGCAACGCGCCCGTGAGACCACTGCTGAAAGATACAACGAACACAGCGACTCACCCAAAAGTAGCACCGTCTGATAATGTCAACAGCGGCGTAGCCTTCCCATCAGCCGTGGCCAGAAAGACAGTATTGCCCCACCACGACTGGATGGTGTCCAGTGCAATTGTGCCGTTGTTGGGGTATTGGAGGCAGAAGAAGATCAAGATGACGGATAAGGCCAAACCAGAATCCATGGCAGCCGAAAGGACATCTGGTAAAAAAATTTGTGTCAGCGAAAGGTAACGCGAGACTAGTGGGGCCTCTTACAATTGTACTTTGTCCACCAAGAGAAATGTTTACGACGGATGACGTATTGGAAAATGAATCCAACGATTGCCCATGGGACGTAGTTCACGGCACTCGCTGGAGGAATGGCCCCCATACCGCTGAAAATAACGGGGAAGCTGTACTCATGTAGCCTTGTGAGAAGTGTGCCTTGGTAGCGAAGAGAGAACGCACTTGACATAACGGATGAAGCTATTTGGCCACTTGAGCGAGATTAGCCATGCGACGACCGGGCAGACAGCGCCGATGAGGAAGAAATATACAAGCGCTTCGTGCAGGAACCTTAGATCCACATAAACTCAATGTGGTCAAGAACTACACACCGTGATAGACCTGGCCTGACGAGAACTGTCTCTGTGGACCGATGACCCCCCAGATAAAGCTGGCGGTTCCGAAGACTTCTGTGTTGGGACAAATGAAACCGTTTTTCTGGTGGGGGTTGCAAATGTCTGGAATGTTGGAAAACATCCATGCTTGCACACCAAGTTGTACGGTTCCTGCGATGGCAGTAGCTACGACTTGACCTGTATGGCATTCAGTTAGGGGTGCGTGATTGTAGGAAAATGGAAACAATTAACCCCAGAACATGGTCCGCGGAGGAATCTTCATATAGTGACCAAGTTTGAAGTCGGAAGAAAAAGTGAGAGCTACAGGCTTTCTAGTTAGAGGCGCGGGTAAATTGACAGGTGGGAAGGCTAACCTTGGGCCATGGTAATGTATCCCCAGGTCTTGAACTGAGCGGGGAAAAGTGTTACTTCACGTCCCCATATGGTAAATATAACATCCTTACCATCATCATTGCAATGGGCCTGATGCGATTTATTAGCTGGGTTGTCAAATGCACATCTATTTCGCGACTCACCTGCCCGGAAGGGCATACCCAACGATTAATTCAGTGATAACGCTGTTGATGTTAGCTTCATCGCCATTAATTAATGATCCTTCACGCACTTCAGTCCAACTTGCTGGTTGGTTATGGCTTGAATCATCCCAATCGGGATGACGTAAATAAATGCTGTAGAAACCGATCAGTCTCTTTCAATCGCAAACATTTGACAGGGATGAATCACCGATAGCCAAGGCCAAGACGAAAGCCCAAACAGGGAACTCCGTGTGCCACACCTCAATGGAGATCACACCAATCACAAACATCGTCACTGCATACTAATCAGCGGGATGATGCAAAACTTTCCAAGGTATAACACACCCAATACGATCATGTACCACCATTCTGGCACCTGCCTGTACTTGGTCATGAGCCTGGCATGGATGTCAGGCTGCTCGTGCATCGAGCGTCTGCTCTGGACCCATATTTGTTTCCGGAAGAACAGCAAGGAGTGCATGAGCGTTGCAGTGATGGAGGCGAACGACAGGGCGTAGGAGATGGCGAAGGTCGTCCTGGATCGGGATACATGAGCTGCAATAAAATATACAGTAGAAATGGCGCACGAAAGGAACAGAGGGCTATATTCCTCATATGCAGTCAAGTTAAGAGAGGCATCTGATTTGATGATGCGGGTGATGTTGTATGAGGCGCCGGTGTTGTCGAACGATGTCCTCGAGGAAATTCTAATAGCGGCGAACCATGTTATCAAGGTGTGCTGGGTACGCAATAAAATAACACATACGGCATATACTTGCTATCCCAGGCATTGGTGTAGTACAACGAAGGGACAACGATCCCTAGATACCTTTTAGCAAACAAAATCACGCGGGGAAGCCAGAATGCTTACAAAAGAAGAATACGAAGCCGGCCGCGATGTTTGCCTCGGCCCACCCTATGCCAAGAGAGATTTAGGTCCGAACTGACGGTGTGTTTTTTCCCACTTACATGGCGTGGCTTTGTGTAAGGTAGTGGGTCATAACTTGAGCCTCTCCCCGACAAAGAATATTCAGTGACTCACCAAGCGGACTACCTGGAGTCAATAGTTAAAACACGATCCATGACGATGTGACTAAAAGCCTACCAATGTAAGAAATTTGAGCCCAGTCGAACGTGACCATGCTCATTCCCAATCCGCTCACATACCCAAACATCTGATTGACGACGATGTTGTCTGGTGCGATCCAGCATACCCATGAGAAGTAAGATAGACCCTGAAAGAGGTACCCAGGTACAAAGTACCATAGGAGACCACCCAACCATGCGTAAAAGAAGAAGCGTTCACGTGAAATTCCCCCGCGGGTGCCTATGCCAGCATATGTCTGCGAATGGAGTGTGTTGAAGAGAGCACATGTCACGAGGTTGGAGGGCCATACTGTGCCAAGGTAAGTTACGGATTTAAGGTGGGAAGGAACCATAAATTCGTACTCATCGAGGGAGGCTGCACGAGGAATCGCCGCAAGATACCACCGATCGAAAAACCGATAAGCTGAGTAGACATGACCACCATCCATTGGTCTTTCCCCGCAACCGTATCCGCGGGTTGACCGAATAGGGACCATGGACCATAAATGATCAGCAACAAAGCCCGACAATCGAGAAGATCGCCAAGATGGTGATATTTTGGGAAGGTGTCAAGAAAGTGAAAATAATTAAGGAAATGATACATTCCGTGAGTTAAGGTTCGCGATACTTGCTCAGGAACTCACAGATAAAGCTGTAAGTTTGTCCATAATAGACTCGTTGGACCGCAATGATATCAGTCTGAAAGCGGCGACATCATGTAAACACTTTTGGCAAGTCCACAGCTCAGAGACGTACAGCATAGGCAGCTGAACACTCTGGTTAGTTGTAAAGCGGAAATTAAATGATTGAAGTACGCACAATATCCACCCACAGTGGCCATGATAGTAACCAAAACATGTTCTTTAATCGAAAATGGTCCGGGATTCATCTTTACGCCAAAAATGCGGACATTTGGCACGACCTATTCAGTCCAGACGCGGGTCATCGTCAATGATAAATAAACATTTTAAAACAACTGGCTTACCTTTGCCCAGGCGCTACCTACAGGGAAAGAAAGCAATTGTGCCGCGATACCAGAGATAGTCACAGAGGGATAGCGGAAGAAAAAGAATTGATTCAGGCCGGCAATCAGAACGGCCCATGCGATGCCTGCAAATCATGGCCATCAGCGTCAAGCGTCTGTTTCAATGGAAAAGAAAAAAACAAGCATACCCATAACCCATGCGCGGAACGAGTTGCAAGGGATAGAGGGATCATCCGTGTTGGCTACAGCACTGCGGACCTCTGGGTATGGAGAATCATCCTCTACAGAAATAGTGAGGTTGTGTACTAAGACCAAAAATTACGGTAGGGTTCACCAAGAACTCCAGCGACGGCAGCGTCACGATCGATGTTGGGATCATCAAAGTCAGCGATGGTCTCGAGGACCTCTGCTATACACCAAGATAAGTATTGGAGGGAGGGGCGTTGCACCGACTCACCTTGAGCCTTAATATCACTCTTTTCGAAGTCGGTTGGGCTGTACCGGTCATCTTGAAAGTCAACCGCCATGTTGAATGTATGACTATTGCAACGGCGGTGGTAGGAGATATCAGGAATGAGAGTTCCAATATTTAAGACTCAAGCTGGTAACCCTCTTAAACTGCTTCGGGAGCAGATTCGCATGGGTCTTGGATGATAAGGGGCCTGAATGTGCCAGATGAATTCAGAGTATTCTTGGGGGGTTTCAATCTCATGCCAACGTGCCACCTGTAGCCTGAGGGACTTGTAGGCCCGTTTCCTCGGCCAGACATGAAACATTCATCCTAATTCAGGATGGCTATCTCTTTTAACGAGAAGGGACACGAGGAGAAGTTGTATAAATAGCATGTTGGTCAAACGATGTGTAAATTCATTGTAGAACCTGTTAACGGTGGATTTCCCAGCCCTATGCAGAGAAGGACGTACCATGCTGATCAGAGAACGGTAGCACAGGATGCCCCGGGGCTGAGATCCAATTGGACAGAACCCCCTTCGGCCAGTCAGGCAGACTCGACCGAAGCAAAGAAGAAGCGAAATAAGCGAAGGGGTCTTGCTCGTTTCGAAGCAGCCGCTGAATTGAAGGCACTTAATCTCAGGTTGCACGAACACACAGCGGCCAGGGGCCTGGATCTCCTTGGCAGTTTACACGCGTACGACAACCTGCAAAATGAAATCAGCTTCCTCTGGGTGAGCCTTACATACAGCGCAACTTGCGACGCCCGCTGAGCACGGGCGGCGCCTACTGCAACAGCTCCAGTGATCAAATTGTTCGTATCATAGATCCACGATCCATTAACTCACCGCTGTTGGCCGATCAACTGTGTTTCGGCGATAATTACGCAGTGTATTGAGCACTCAGTGTTACCCCGAGTAGTCACCATGCCATCATCAGAAGTTTCGTGTGCCTACTGGCACGTGCACTCACATGCATGTGTAATTAATGAAATTGTACTTGACAAGATGTTGTGGTGTTGCAATGCTGAATCCGAGTCCGCGCAGCCTTTCTGAATCCACTCTGAAGCTGAGAAGACGATGCATATGGGATCAACAGATATCATTTTGATCCGGTCCTTATCATATCTTAGCCCAATACTCCAAACATGGTGGGTGTGCATATGGACTGCCCCCCTGCACGGCCGCCCCAAGTTTGGGCTACCCACCAACTATATATAACATCTTCATCGAATTAGGACTACTTTACCGGATAATTGACACAACAAGGTGCTGATATGATCCAAATCTGCCATGATATTGAGTAGTAATATACCTCCTTCAATTCCGCGAGCGCATACCACCAATATACAACACGCCTATCTACTTGGTCCGATATTCCGTAGAGCAGCAGGTGCAGTCGGCGGGAGGCGTGGAGGGGGAGGATTTGAGATAGTCTTCTTAGCATCGCGGAGGGCTGCTAGTCTGTCAGGAATGCCTGTTGGACGCGGCGGTGGCGGTAGGGGAGTGGGAGCGCTAAGCATAGAAGGATTGACAAAGTTGTTTTGGTTGTAGGAGGGAGACAGTACTGGCGGGGTCTCAGTTCGTTGTCGGGCTTTCGGCTGTCTGCTGGGCAGCATTACATCATCTTCCTCCTCCAGCTTCCGCTTCGTCCCAGAGGTGCTTTGCACCTGAGCGCCAATCCCCTTGACGAAGTCGAGCAACGTCTTAGCAACACGAGCATTCATCCGGATATCTACATGTTCTTCGCGCACCACCTCCCGCATGCGCCCGAGCTTCTCTGCGAGCGTGCGCAGTTGCAGCTTATCTTTCTCCACAGATATCAAGAGACATATGACGATGAACTCCACGGGCGAGACGCGCCAGCCGGGTTGTAGGAATATAGAGCACAGATCTCGGTCGCTGACTAGCTGCGAGAAGACGCGGAAGGTCTCGTGGATGCATGTGAGGAAGAGTTCATCATTTGCGAGGTCCTCGTCGTCGTCACTTGCTTTCTTTCTGCTTTTGACCCGTCGGGTGGGGTTGTGTAGCCATTTCTCTATCTGCGGAACGGTACCCACGGACTGGAGGGAAGGGTACTTTGAGATGCAATAGAGCGCCTGGGCGATACACCGGAAGTCCCCGCCGCGGGAGCGGTCCCAATCTAGGGTGTTGCCGCCCAAAGGCTTGTCTTCTCCGAAATACTCGGCTTCTAGTCTCCGCACAAACGAGGCCATAGGAGTATTTGTTACCTGCAATTTTTCTACGAAGATGGTGAGCCAAGAGTGTAAGTGCTAGTCAAGTATACACTGACCTGCAGGGGTGAGGGCCATGCCGAGTTGTACTCTCTGAACTTGGATGAACGACATAATTTTAGAATGTGGTAGGGACTTACCTGGAAGATTTCGCGTTCTTCAGAATCAGGAAGGTCTTGATATTCTATGCATACGATCTGCTTATTAGCAAAGAGTCGTTGATATTTACCAGGAAGAATGTAACCCGCGGACCGCCCGGTTTGGTTGGAAGCGTTTGACTTGTACCAATACTTGTCACCGGTTTGTCTGTATCGCATGATTTAATGGAAGCCAAAGAATCAAATTTGATTTTTATTTATTACTTACGGGTCTTTATCTGCCGAGTGTTTATGACGATTAGAAGCGGAAACGGAAGCATATAATCACTAACGATAGATCTAATAACTATGTAAGCTGAATAGCACAGAACAGATGGATATGACCAACCTGTCCATCCATGAACCTGCAGCGGCAAACAGACTGACGTCAGTTGTTCAGCAAGATAATAATCGAGGGAATGCACCGTTGTATTGAAGTAAGCCGCTGCTTTCCGTCGATACACGTCTTTGTTTCTGAGCCATCTGAGTGCTGATGCGAAACTGAAGGATGGATGAGGGGGAATATAAGCGCTGCGCCACGTGGCCTGCCGAGGTATTATGCTCACCAAAGATCACAGGTGGAACGTAAAAATTGCGCAGTATAGAGTCAATTAGGCCCACTTGTTTCGCCTCCGACCAGACAACGTCTGAGAAAACACGGCTCTAGTCATTTAGAGCTGGATTACAGAAAAGACTTCACGGACCTCTTTGATACTCCGGGTCCAGGTCAATGTCGCTACCAATGATTTGCTCTACAACAGAGTCAACGAGGATCCACACACAAAAACATGGCAAGCAAGAGGCGCACCGTAGAGTGCCTGTGTCGTGTAGGTTGTGGCACGGGGAAGCTTAAGAACATTCCGAAGTATGTAGCCGCCGTCATAATTCTGCGAGCGCTTGCCGCCAGCCTCGAGTTCATCGTAGGGTTCATCGCCTGCTTCAGAATCGCTTGAGTTCATGGTGAGCAGTACCTTTTCTCGAGTGTTGAAGGTGGAGCCTAGCTATTACCAACCAGTTTCAAAGGTCTTTGTTTCGAAGGCGTAAGTAGCCTGGAAATGAAAACCAAACTTTGATGAGTGGCTGTGCAAACAAGAGTTGATTGCTTCTATAACGTGCTTTAACAGCGACGGTCGACGATGTTCAATGGCAGTTCAACATTCTCAAAGCCGGCCACAAAGGGCTCATTGCTGTCCTCACGTTCAGCTACCACTAAACGTGACTCCCTAATGGCAGAGCTCGAACGGGGTGAGTTCGCTGGTCCTCCCGCTGAGGAGATATGCCTTCGGGATGCTCATGTCCAGAGAAACCTGACCCCAAACAAATTGCAGACCCGCAGCACTCGACTGCAAAGCGCCAGCAGCGTTCTAATGCATTCACCTCCCACATGGCAAACGCCTCTCTCGAACGCCAGCTGCTCGCCGCACAGGCCAGTAAATCCGAGCTCGAGACCAAACTCCGTGAAAAAGATATTGCGATAGAAAGGCTGGAAAGAGATAGAAGGTGGTTTGCGGAGAGGGAGGAGAAGGAGCGCGAGGAAAAATTGCAGGAGCAGTTGGGGAGAGAAGAGGAACAGGTGCGTGCGTCACTTCCGCGTGCATGCCGTCGGATCTCACCATTGTTCTGTAGCGCAAGGCAGATTTAGAACTTCGCCAGCTACGCAGCTCCCTCGCTGCTGTTCGAGAGAACCTTGCGGAACTCGAGGACGAACACTCGAACCTTTCTCGCAGCCACTCACAATCATTTGCTTCTCACAAGTCGCAGTCTTCAGTTCTCGCTCGTCAAAACGCAGTGCTGGAGAAAGAAGTCGCGGACCTTCGAGCTATTGCAGAAGAACGAGGCGTTGCAGTCCAGAATTTGCAACAACAATTGGACGATGCTCATGCTGCCACTGACTCTTCTGCGAGAAGTTCCAATGAGAACGAGAATTGGAGCGTTGTGCGCGACGAGCTGCAGCGACAAGCGGGATATCTCCGTTCGCTCGAGTCGATCAACGCAAAACTCACCACTGAACTTGCACGGTACAAAGACCGGCACACCAGCGTGGAAGTCCTTCGGGAAGAAAAACGTACTTTGGAAAGCAAGGTGGCTATCATGGAAGGGCTTCGAGAGAAAGTCGCCAAACTAGAAGCTCAAGTCGAAGCTGCTCGACAAGAACGGAAAGATTGGCAAGTGCCGACCCAATCTCCTCGTTCGAAAGTTAATTTATGTATTGTAGGGCAAACAAAACCAGCGAATCCAACACATCATCACAAACTTCCATCTCCGTGGTGCAAAATCTGTCAGCATTACGTCTAGAAAACGCACGATTGATGGAGGAACATGGTGCAAACATGGCACTCCTTCGCCGCCGCGAGACCGAGCTATCTAACGCCGATAAGATAGCGTCGGAAGCTCAGGAGGCTGCGGATGCCCTACAAGCAGAGGTGAAAACACTTAAAGAAAAGATAGTAAGACGAGAACAGCGAGCTCAGCTGGCGGAACGAGAAGCCAGGTTTCTCCAAGCCCTCGTCGTATGTGTTTGCATTCCGGGCCAGTGTCTTAATAGTTTATCACCCTATTTCAGGCCAGCTTCGCTGCTGAGGAGTCAGCTGCACGGGAGTCACCAACTGTGGACAACCTTTCTCAGCAGCGGATCCAGCATCTTGAGCAGTCTATAGCCGACTACAAATCCGAAAACTCTCGGTTACAGAGTGCACTGGATGCTGCTGAGGTTGATAATGCCATAGGAGGACCGAAACGCACACGCAAGGATCTCGTTCGCGAGATTGACGCACAGACAGCTGCAGCAGATGACGCAACGAAAGGTATGACTCAACAGAAACATATTTATCTCGTTCCTCGTTTAATTCCATACATATATCCAGGCCTGCAGGAAGCGCAAAAAAATCTAACGCAGCAGGAAGACAAGATCGAGAAGCTCGAACAAACACTGTTTGAGCTCCGCGGTGAAATCGGTGCGGGGAACCACGTCCCACCAGGCATGCGTGTGTTGTGTCTGCGCGACAATCCGGCGCAGCAGTGGACTGATCTGCGACAGTCGGTGATGGATCGTCTGAAGAGCGAAAACGAAGCGCTCATCAAACGCCTGCATGAGCTTGAGAGCAGCGGAGCGGTGGTAGCCGACCACCAGGCCCCGCGCGACGATTTGGTTCCCAGGGAAAGTTGGGAGGTGCTCGATAAAGAAAAGAAGGAGCTTGAGGAAGTGGTAAAGCAGAAAGAGAAGAGACTCTTGCGCTTACAGCAGGTGCGTGTACCCTCCCTGTATTTTTTTGCAGTGATTGATGGTAGACCGTGGCCATGGTTCGGTAGGTGTTCACTGCAAAGAGCGCCGAGTTCCGAGAAGCGATAGCGTCCATACTCGGGCTCAAGCTCGCGTTTTACCCCAACGGGCAAGTCCGCCGTAACGTCGATCTATGATCTTTCTGCGTCATTTGTGTTCCAACCTTTGACGAAGCCCGGGGAGAACGGAGAAGGAGCGAGGATGCAGCTCATTGCGCAAGGTGAAGGCGGTCCGCAAGATCTCCCGCAGCTAATGCGATTCTGGGTGAATGAGGAGCAGTGTATACCTGGGTTTTTGGCGAGCGTGACTTTGGAGTGTTATGACATGACGAAGAGAGCGGTCGGTACCGAGTCGTAGTACTCGGCTGTGATGTTATCGATAGCAATTAATTATGTACTGCGACACCCTAGCTATATAGGGGTTGCGAGGAGGATCCAATCAGGAATATTGTAAAAAAAATGTCTCGACGAACTTAGAATTTTTTTGGACAATTTTAATGACATTGCCTGACCCTGGCTTGCAAGCTCCGTTCTCGACAGACGGACCCTTGCTTTTTTCCAACACCTGCTGATTGCTGGTGGTGTAGTCTCTGACTCTGAACTGTTTCTGATATGTATCATTTGTGCTGAGTATGTGTCCAGATGAGTTAATATCCTATAGTTTTTAACGATGCTGATGGCTTGGCAGACCCTGATATTGCGTAGTAGCCGTACAATACCGGAGTACTGAGGCATGTTGCTGAACGAAGGCCCCACAGCGAATCCCTTGAGAATTCCTGCTGCTCCTGCTTTCATTCCATCGCAAGCACCGAAATCTCGCATCCGGATATGCCAAAAGTGTGGTTCCGTTTTACCACAAGACTTTCCATGGATAGTTTGTGACGATTGCCAGTTACCGCTCAGAGCCCGGGGCATTCCTTCACCCGGACATGCTCTCCTGGCAAGCCAAGACACCGCGAGGCTCGGACAATCTGTGAGTTTTGTGTTTGGTAACAGGATGTGCCTTCGGGGTTACACTGGGTTGTTAAAACTTTTGGCGTTATCCTGACTATGTTACCAGGAACGGTTCTTTTCAACATGTGTTTCGTGCCGAATAATCGTAGAAGGACCAAGGATCTCCTCGACCTTTTACACAATCTGCCCTGCATGTCGAACGCAGCAAGAATGCATGAAGCTGAAGTCTTCAAGGCGCATTAATCCGCACTCTCCATCACTACTCCCAACCGCATTACCCAGCATCGAACAACACAACGACCCTCCTCGCCCGTGTTTCTTCAACTCCCGCGGAGAAATAATTGCCCCTCCCCCTGTCCCTGTGAGTATTCATTAATTCTTTCCTTATTTGAACTTTGCCCATGATTGACGCCAGGTTGTCGTGGCGCCTATGCGTGTGTGTATGCGCTTCGGCTGTGGCGCGCAACTAGCACCCAACCAGCTGTTCAATTTTTGCGATGCATGTCTGAGGTTGGGGTTTGGCCGCGGAGCGCCTGCACCGCCCCCTGACTCCAAGCGCCATCCGAAGCGCATAAAGAGGGATGAACTTCCCTCTGGGGCGCTCACCTCGAAGGTCAAGGTAAGGTGGTTTTTATATGCTCGTGTCCAGAATGCAGTTGAAAAACGACAATTTGAAGCGGGATATAGATGCTGCACAGAGAGCTGAGGTCCTTGCGCAGCCCTCGCAGGAAGCGTTTGCGGAACTTGGTACAAGCAATGATGATTTGGACGTTGAGTTGATGTATCCTGAGGTTAGTGAGATGCGAATTTGAGATCACTGAGTCTGAGCCGCCATGTAGGATGAGGAACTTGCAGCCTGTTCTGCCGACCCGATAGCTAAACCTGTTGATGATGCTATCCCACCTCCAGATGCTGTCTTGGAACGTGGGTCTTCGCAGCTTTCGCCAGCCCTCAGCACTACCGCCCATGCTCCAAGCCCTGAGCTAGTCCAAGTCAGTGGTGTTCGATTACTGTCCTATAAGTGTTAGACTAAGGATTCTTACAGCGCACATGTGAAACGCCTGGGTGCGGAGGAACTGTATCCTCGTCAGCTACATGGCAAAGGTGCTATAAATGCAGCTTGCAGCGCTGGAAAGAGCGCCAGAAGGCTGCCATTGCTGCAAGTGCCACTGTGGAGCCTACTTCGCCGGTAGGCGGTACACATGAGGTTGCCTCGAATTCCGCTGAGGCCATGGGTGGTGTTGGGCCTCTGTCACACGATACACTAGAGGCAACCGTAGTGGATCGAGTTGCAACGAGCATAGAGCCAGGAGTATCAGCTTCACACTCACAGGGAGCAGTCCTTGATGCTGTTGACAAACTACCTTTACCGGAGCTTCCCGATGGACAAGTCGTCATCAACTCCGCGGCAGCCGCGAGTACTTCCAATACACTCGATACTGAGTGTGGCGGAGACCCTCGCGCGGAACCTGAAATCACTAAGGTTCACATCTCCGGATGGGACAGCGACTTGACGGACCTCTCCTCGGAAGACGAAGAGGTCGATTCGGACTCCGATGTCGAAGACTCTTCCAAGATCAAGATTCGCATCCCTTTGCTCGCGTCTCGACTTCCTAGCGGCGCCAGTGCGCGCGTGTGCGCCATCAAGCGCTGTAACATCGTATTGCCTCCGGATTGCCGTTGGAAGATCTGTGATTCCTGCCGGAGATACCAACGGGTGTACCAGAGGATTCGTATGGAGAAAGCACGCCGTCGTATGAAGGAATTCTGTGGGCGCAATTGTTACATATAGAATCGCCGAAGCTAATGCATCTGTTATTTTAGCTCGGATAAGTACTCGTGGGTCTGCTCTAGTTCATAATGATCCTGCACCGTTTCTGGAGGTAGGACACATTAAGGGCATCGTTTTAACCTTGCATCACTTACCATCGGTGCAGGTACAAACCGACGAGGTGGCCTCAGTGGAAGACTCGCGCATCTGCGCTGTTTCTCGCTGTCACACAATGCTACCGCCTGCGACCAAATACCAGTGGAAATGCTGTGGAGCTTGCCGCATGCGTGCTCGTGACGACGCAAGAGAAAGGCGGTCGTCTGTTGGAGGAATCCTGGACTTGGAAGACCCGGTGGAGCAGACCTCACCATCGGACATCTCGCCCTTTCCTGCTTTTCAAAATCGCAGCGTGCTGCTGTCGGAGTTTAGCGCGATGCTGAAGCGGTTCTTGGAAGCGCAGATCTTGTACTTGCGCATGAAGATTCAGACAGCAGGCGAGAAAGCGCCGCTGAGGCTTGATCCTGTGCTGTTTGCGTTTGATGGTGAATATTCGACGGTGACCGGCCAGCGGAGACACCAGGACAACGTCCAAGGCAAGTCTGGTCCTGAGCACGGTCAGGAGGAGGAGATGCAAAAGGAAGCTGTCTTAGCTGTCAAGGAGCTTGATAGTGCACTCGTCACTCAATTTAAGTAAGTGTTTTCAGTTGTGGGAACTGCGGTCGGACGGGTGATGTCGCTTACCCTGTAGGCCAACGGAAGGTTTTAAAATCAAGTCTGGAGGAGTCATCATGCGATATAAATGTGCCCTAGAGTTGATTGTCCCCCTCCGTGCTTTACCCAAGATAACGGAATCGAAGGACACCGACCCTTCTAGGCCATCACAAAGTGATACCTCGTCCCCACATGTCCCATACATAAAACCAGCGTTTGGGGAGCTAGAGGTCGCGGTTGTTCCCGACAATTCGCATCGTATTTTACAGGGTCGACGGACTATTATCCGATTCCGCATGCTTGGCTAGCTAGGGTGGCCTTCGCTCGGAGCCCATTTACGATACTTGCCTTACAACTAATTTGTATGAGATGTTATTATCTGATCAACAATTCGACGTACCTATATCATCATTGTCGAGGTGTAGTTGCTACTTAATTGGTGAAAATATTATGAAGTTCTGTAATTAAAAAACGGTCCTCGTAAGTAGGTCCAAGATGGGTCTGGCGTAAGCTCTGGGTATGTGAGTACTAGTCGAGCTTAATCGTTGCACAATCGTTCGTGAAGTTGAACTTCCCAACCTGCAGGGCCCCTGTCTTCCTCCCGGGCCGACGTGGGCCGTGGGAAAGTGTTGTTAAACGTTTACAAACGTTCGCTTTGCTGAGAATATCGTCTTCTTTGATACCGCGGACCTCACGTTCGCATCTTCTCAGCGACATCATGATGCGGCTGCCGCTGTCAATACAATATTCCCGATCTGCAAGCACTCGGAGTCAACATGTGATGGTTGGTCGCCTGTGATCGTGCGTAGTCTGGTCGAACCTGATATAAATAAGCATGAGGACTTCCTTTCTGCCTCCTCACCCCCAGGGTTCTACTCGAGCACCGGTTAAGATCTGGACTCTTCTTTTATCTGGTCTCCATGAGGCTTCTCGCAAGACTCAAGTCCACCCTACTTTTAGTTGTGGTTGCTCGCATCATTTCCACTTCTGCCCATTCCAATGACCTTAGTGGTCTGTACGCATTGGTGAAAAGGCGCATGCCTAGTCACTCTAACGCGTTCATATTTAATCTGTCGACATCCATCAGCTCAGACGCGGACACGTTCAAAATACGTGATGCTTCGCATGATGAAGGAGATGGAAGTGCGAAAATTTACATCGAGTGCACAACCATAAGCGCTTGTGCAAGAGGGCTGTATACGTGCGTCAATTTTTAGCCATTGAAGCAATGCGGCTTGTCTCAATTTGTCATATTGACGAACTAGCTATGTCACGGAATTCGGTGGTGTGGATATCTGGTGGACAGGTTCACGACTTGACCAGCTCCCCCAGCAGCTTCCCACCATACAGGAGCCGGTAACCAGAAGTGCTATTGTGCCGTATCGTTATTTCTTCAACACGGTCACGTTTGACTACACGACCGCATTCTACACTTTCGATGATTGGTCTTTGCTTCTTGATTGGCTCGCGTTGCGCGGTGTCAACCTCCCTCTGGCTTGGGTCGGTTACGAGTATATCCTGGTGGAAGTATTTCGAGAGGCTGGGCTCACTGATGCGGAAATCGCAGGCTTTCTGTCTGGTCCTGCCTTCCAGGCATGGAACAGGTTTGGTAATATACAAGGCAGCTGGAGCGGTGATCTTCCAACGCAGTGGGTCAACAACCAATTCGCTCTGCAAAAGCAGATCATTCCCCGTATGGTTGAACTGGGAATGATCCCTGTTCTCCCATCGTTTACCGGATTCGTCCCCCGCGCTTTTCACAACTTGTATCCAAACGCATCCATCGTCAACGGCAGCCAATGGAGCGGCTTCCCCTCAGCATATACCAACGATTCATTCCTCGAACCTTTTGATCCCCTTTTTGCAAGTTTGCAAAAGTCCTTCATCGACAAACAGATCGCCGCGTACGGCAACGTCTCTCATATCTACACGTTGGACCAATACAATGAGAATGATCCCTACAGCGGCGATCCCGCATATCTTCAAAACGTCACCTCAGCCACGTTTGCAAGTCTGCGAGCAGCCGACCCGGAGGCTATATGGCTCATGCAAGGCTGGTTATTCTTCAGTGATCAAACATTCTGGACCACCGAGCGCGTGCAGGCATATCTCGGCGGTATCCCGGGAAACGATAGCATGATCATCCTTGATTTATACAGCGAGGCGCAGCCTCAATGGGAGCGACTGAGCTCGTACTATGGAAAGAAATGGGTCTGGTGCGAGCTGCACGACTATGGTGGCAACATGGGCTTTGAAGGGAACTTCATGAATGTCACCGCAGAGCCACTGCGCGCCTTGACATCACCTGGTTCCTCTATGGTTGGCATGGGCTTGACGCCTGAGGGTATGGAAGGGAACGAGATTATTTACGATGTTCTGCTTGACCAGGCTTGGTCTCCTACAGCTATCAACAGGACATTGTATGTGTCGGCCTGGGTATCAAGGCGATACTACATCTCCGACCTCCCTTCATCTGCTATAAATGCGTGGGAGATCCTGGGGGCAACGGTCTACAGCAACCGAGATCCATCTTCACAAGCCACCGTGAAGAGTATCTTGGAGCTAGCACCCGCACTCAGCGGGCTCGTTAACCGGACGGGACACCACCCAACTCTAGTCTTCTACGATACGAACACGACTATCGTCCCTGCCCTGCAGATGCTCATACAAGCAGGCTACGAGTCCAAATCGTTGCTGAACATTCCAGAGTTCAAATATGATCTTGTAGATGTCACACGCCAGCTGCTCGCGAACCGCTTCATTACCCTCTACGAAACACTTGTTGCCACGTACGCATCGAGTTCATCCAGCAGTGCAACTATCGCTGCAGCTGGTCAACCTCTCTTGCAGCTATTGCATGATTTGGACGAGCTTCTGCTCACCAACGACTACTTCCTCCTCGCGAACTGGATTAGTGCAGCCAGGAGCTTGTCGGATGGAAACGCGTCATATGCTGCGTTCCTTGAGTACAACGCACGGAACCAGATCACGCTGTGGGGTCCCACAGGTGAGATCAATGATTACGCATCCAAGCAGTGGGGTGGTCTCGTTGGCACATATTACGTTCCACGATGGACGACCTTTGTAGAGCACCTGGTCGGCACGAAGGCAAATGGCACTGCGTACAATGCGACAGCTGTTGCAAACGCCAACCTTGTGATTGGGGAGCAGTGGGATGCTCAGACGTGGGGCCAGACGGTCAATTGGAAAACAGTGGGCGACTCGTGGAGTATGGTGCAAGCTTTGGCAACAAAATATACGTAAAAGGTTGTTGGTATCTTCCTCTGGTGCAAGCCATGCATTTTTCTCTGCATTTAACTCGGCATGACTTCTCCCTCCTGCGAGACGTCTTCGAACTGTGTCAGCGCTCACAGTCACACACCGCCCTTTCTCCTTCCATTCCTCTGCCACCTCTGAACAGATGGTCTTCAGTAGTTTCCGTTCCGTCTCAGGTTTCCGTAGCTCAGCTGTGTAGGCCTCGATGGCATGAGCAATGGCTCTTTCTCATTCCTGAGATGTGAGCTGTTTTTTTCATTGAGACAGATTGTGCATCATGGCAGCTTGCGGTTGTAGTCCTCCGCAGCGGTGAGTTGGTAGTTTTCGTCATATGCGTGGAATGGTTTAACACAATGGGTAGGCACAATCTTCGCGAGCTCGTCCTTGCACCTGTCTTGTACAGGCCAGTGAGCTATATTAATTTCAGTATTTGAGTCTTCGGTTTCTGTGGTCCAAGTTAGATAACGAAGGGTTGTGGGCAGTGTCCTACTTACGTGACGATGCATCAGAGGAACTGACGGATGTTGCACCACGTTTATGGTGAACATCATCGACTTCGATGACTTTCTGTCAAAGTAAAACCAAATCAGATGTGGATAAGTAAACACAGTGAAGCATTCGAGTGACAAACCTCAAATAAGCTGTGTACGAGTTTAATACACTGTACCTCCTTCTCTTTTGGAGCTTTCTTCTCGAGAGTGCACAGGTTCTCAACCACGTTTGGAAAATCGTCATCAGAGAACTTGAAAGATGCATCTTGTGTGACAGGAAGGAGGCGGCAGCTGAGTTTCACTTCAGAAAATTTGCTGCCAAACGAGTTGTGAGGATCAAAGTTGGCATCCGGAGTAACGTAGAAATTGTGTGATCAATCTCGAAGACACCGCTCATGATGAACTCTGGGCTCATCAGCACTAAGCTCCCTGATGGTGAGTGTGTGTCACCCTCACGACCACCGATGAAAACTCAGCCTGGGATACAACATTCGCACTGGCAGCGTAGAAGCTGGTGCCACTGGCAGAAACCAACTTTTCATAAACTTCAGCAGCGGAAACTGGAGAAGGAGATGATCAATCACTAGTCACAGACATTGGAAGTGAGTAAAGGCTGGCAGTCAGGAGATGGTGTGCGTTAGGTTGGTGCAGAACTGGTGGATCAAAGTTTTTCTTCATATATTAGTAGTTCAACGAGTTTGGTGCCACAACAGGAGTCACATGATAACTTACTACAGTGTCTGACTATTCAGAGCCGAGAAGTGTTGTTGTTGCGCAGTCAGAAACACAAAGCAGAAGCTTTGCATTTGCTTGGAGTAAATCAAACTGCAGATATGATCTGATGCCACATGCACAGGGAAGACAAAGCAGAAGACAAAATGACCAGCCAGAACAAATGTTCAGGAACATCGTCCAACATAATAGCTTGCCGTCATAATACCTGTGTGATCAGTCCCGCAAATTATCAAAAAGCAAGGCTTAGTGAACCTGCATACATGATGTCATGTAGGTCTGCAGACTTTGACCGAGGATGTACAATGGAAGAACAAAGCTAGAGCAACTCATTCAAGTTAGAACATTGCACAATGAGAAACATAAGACTTTGAAGTTGAATTCGGTTTCCATGAAGCGGAGCAGCAATGGCTACCATGCTGACTGATGTCCTCTTTGACAATGCTCTCAATATCCTGCATCAGGAAAAAGGGAAAAAGTCTTAGCCATCTTACCTCACTTACAGAGACTTAATTCGACGTTAAGTTCACTAAGTTGTCAAAGCAAATCATTTCAACTTAATTTCTGCTTGGAGGATTGTTCACAAAGGAAACACAATAATAGTAAGTAATGAATGGCCAAAATTCAGCACGGAGGCTGCAGAAAAGCGTGTTCAAGTAAGAAGTTTATTTATAAGTAATCAACACCATGCTGCGATGTAACTAAGTCAATAGGCGCTATGCGAAGTACTTCCTAAGCCGACAAAGTATATAATATGTAGTCCTAATGGTAGCATTATCCAGCCAATAAGAATAAGTCAGTATCAAGTCACCAGGCAATCTCAAATGCCTGATGGTCAATGTATTTATTTACATAGTAAGTGCGGAAAGCATCAAGGGTCTGTGTGTAAGAGAGATAAGTAGGTACAAATTCATGCCCAAATACAGGCATAAGGTGTGCCGCACGAAAAATGCAGTCAAGGTGAATGACGGAGGCAAATCGTGTCCCATCCTCGCGGGTTTCAGGCTCTACTACCCACATTCCTGTGTTCTCATCTGGTGAGTCGTGCACGTGTTTGAACCAATGCACAAATGCACAAGGGTAATGTACACCATTGTGTTTAAATGAAAAGAAAAGCCTTACTTGAGCGATATCGAAGCCACGCATACCCTCGACAGTGGGATCAGTACTAATGAAAACACAGTCATATCGACCAGGGCCGTTCCTCCAGGTATCCACAGCACGAATTCGCTCGTAGCGCATACCGCCGATGCCTGAGACATCACTGGGAGCGAAGAAGGTGGCAATGGCAGATGTATACAGAGTTATTTTTTCATGTAGTTCGGGAAGGGCACTGGACGAGCCAGCGCCAGACTCGGAGGCTTCTGAGTTGGAGTCAGAACAATGGAGCTGGTCATGTAAAAATCGCTGAATGTGAGTGGTGAGTTCCGGTTCACCAATTTGATCTGCAAGTAGGTCTGCGTAGATCCGTTTTGCTAAAAATTTGTTGTAAGTAAAAAGCACGCCAGGTAAATGTACTACTCCACTCACCAGATTTCTTCGCCAAGTCTACATGAGCTATCACCGTCGGTCCAGCAACAGCGTCACCCTCGAGCTCAGCATCTTGGTCTGCATCAGCCTCCAAGTTGGCATTCACGTGATTGTTGCGTCCGAGATGGGGAATGTCAATCGGCTCGTCCTCGAGCCGGACTTGAATGGCTTCTGCATTGTGCACTGGAGCGTTTAGCCCTGTGTGTGATTTGTGTTAGTAATATTAGTGGTCAAATGCTAGTAGACGTACCGAGTTTATCAAGGATATATGATAGACATGTTCCTGTTAGCATCCCACGGCTAGCAAAGTCAACACGAGACGCCGCTAACTTATCTAGACGTTGATTTGTCAGTAACATCTGATTGAGGGCTTCGAACCGACTGGACCGTCGCCACGGCTCCTTGACAGCCTTGATATGTTTAGATTCTGTGATGGAAGAACAGAGTCCGTTTGGTGCGCCAAACGATCGGATCATTTTGTGGTAGTGGATAAGCGAGTGTTGTCGAGGGAGGTTGAATCCATTAGGGCGAACACCGGATGTTTCAAATATTTCGCGGTGCCTGTGGAAACGCTCGAGTGCATCATCCAACGCATTGAGGCTGTTGGAGTCGATGATATTGTGCCGCGCGATGTACACAAAATCAATTAATGCTTGCAAAGTCAGCACCATCTCCGGAGGTACGTGGCCTTCAATCACGGGTATATACACCTATAGTAGTAAGAATACACGTTAGTCAACACTACTCGTGATGATGGAACACCCGTTCATCGACTCGAACGTACCTTCATAAGTGCTTTGGAATCATCTCCCGTCCACTGTTTGAAGCCCCTTCCCTCCGGGAATCGTCGAAGGCCCGCAAATGAGGGAGCAAGAGCAATACTAGTTGTAGAGTGCGTCAATACCAGTCATTGCAACCCAGCATGTTGAAAATTGGACTTACCGGTGATCAATATCATCTAATATTATATTCGCCTCGTTTTCCGAGTACCAAGCCTTAATGTATTTGTGGACCCAGGTGACGATATGGTCCTTGAACGCACCCTTTATCAGCTGATGTAAAATGTCGGGGGAGAGGAGTTCGTGAATGTCGGCTCGCGGGAAATAGTTAGTGAATGGCTGTAGAACACATAGTATATTGTAATTTGTCAGCTCGCACAATGACTACAATAATGAAGGTACAAACCACGATGTCTCCTACAAGTCCATATTCGTCCCATAGCACACCTAACTCGAATTCCTCCACCAAGACTTCGGTATGGTTGCGGGAACGCCGACCATAGGTACCATTGTCAAGACCATCAGCCGGAGCAGTACATCTGGATGGATGTGTAGTAAGTAGACAGTACTAGCATAACATGAAGAAATACATACTTTGGGCACCAGTTTTGAACGATGCAAGCGAGCAATGCTTGCTCGGGATAATCGGCAATATATGGTCCAAGGCCATACACCGCACGTCGAAAATGACCATCGGGGGAGCGTACAACCTCGGGTGTTGTCATACCTGGTTTGAGGGATTCCAGCATCTTCGCCAGCGATGAGTGGAGAAGCTGACGGCGGAATTTTCGAAAGTGTGCGTCTTTGGCGGACTCCTTGTCAGCTAAATATATGCATCTAATTAGCGCCAGCAACAGACAACATCAAATTGAAACACGTACTTGTCGGGATGGCTAGGAAGCCCAGCAATACAACACCGTTGCGGTGTGCACGTCGCACGTTGTTGCGGATGTTGCCGATCGACATATAAACCGGCCAGTACTGGTTGTGTCCAGTAGCGACGGAGACAGTAGTCTTGTCGCTGCCAAGGATTATTGGAACGAACATAGATCCAATTGTATTGGGATCCTCGGCAATCAAATCCTGTGAATTGTGAGAGATGAGAAAATTGGAAAAAGGATGAAAAATGGCTTACGGCCTGCTTCCAACACCAATCACCGGACATAAAGTCCTGAAAGCGATGTGCTCCGTTGCTGGTATCATACTCCTGTAGCGGAGCGTAGTCGAATTCGCCTTCGAAGTCTGGGTTGGAGAGAATGTTGTGCACGAGGATCCGAGGATCTCGGAGCCACACATCATACTCGGATGTCATCCATGTCGGAATGTCACCTTCAGGTAGAGCACCATTATATTCAGAGCTAAAACTCTGCCAGGCGACGTCACCTAGAGGCGTCGAATCAATGACGTTGTACATCTCAACGTGGTTTGTGAAGGGCGGTGTTTCGCCATGAGCCGCTAATGAGGCGGCCCACAGGTTGAATATAAAGTCAATATCGCCCCCCGACATCTGGTTGCGACGGTAGAGGAAGTCTGCGACTTCAAATTCGACTCGATTAGCATATGGTGTCCAGTTGTCTGGTCCACGATTTGATGGACGCGGAGGTGGCGGAGTATTCGGTGGTATGTCATCTCCGTGTTCGTCGCAAATTCTCCCTTCATATGGAGAAGAGTATACAGTGAGCACAAGTTTGGATGAGCGTCAAGTGAAATTAACACGCACCATTGATATTAGGATGATATGTTCTGGTAACACCAGGAACTTGAAGAGGAACACTACCATCTCGACTCGCCTGGCCAATGGAACCAGCACCACTTGAAGGGCGTTGATCTGAGCTGTTCATACCTGCCTCATTGGCAGCATCATCATGAAAGCCATACCCACGTCCATTTGACTCTGGCAAGTCAAACTCCATTTGATCGTCGCGACTCCCAGGTGCTTCAAGTTGTTCATCACCTGCGCTAGTCTGAGTTGGGCTGCGTGAATGCATGTGTGCTGAGCTTGTTGCAGCATGTCCGGTGCCAGGTCGGGATGACTGGGAACATCGTGAACTCGACTCGGAGGAGGAATGGTGTGATGACGGGACGTCGGGTTCTTCAGATGCCAGTGGATGCTGGGATTGCATATGAGTGGTGCGCCCTGACCTGTTGTAAAAACGGCGGATACAGCCCGTCACTAGGCATGGTAGCGTGGGTTGAGGGCGGCCAAGGTTGTGTATATTGTGCGCACGAAGGTTGCCATTGGCCCGCATCATAAGATAGTGCCGATGGTATTGTAGACTCGAATGGGGCCCATGAGTCTGGCGTCGGAGGTGTAACTTCGAGTTGACTTTATACAAGGCCTGGTAAATGCGCAGGAGAACATCATGCATGCGAGTACTTACAAGTAGCCAATGGTAACATGATCTGCCCAGGGTTGATGCAAGGTGCGCCCATGAATAACTTCCAGCCACACAACACGATGTGTTCAGGGTTGATGCAAGGCGCGCCCATGAATAACTTCCAGCCACCACCGAGAGCATGATGGAATGCGTTTGACATGCGAAGACGATCACCTATCTTGATGAGAGGAAGGCCAAGAGCATGACGGAATGTGTTTGACATGTGAAGGCCACAGACATGAGACTCCCCCCCCCTCTCAAGTCTAAACACACACAAGGTGCGCCTGATCCTTCCAATCTTCTGAAGCAGGGAGTTGCGGCACACATAGCATCTATAACACAGCAGTCAGCACACCGCAGTTACCAACCGGACATTAAACGGAAACCTCACCATTCAAGTTAAGCATATCACAATCGTCCACCTTGATGAGAGGAAGGCCAAGAGCATGACGGAATGCGTTTGACATGCGAAGGCCACAGAAGTGAGACTCCCCCCCCCTCAAGTCTAAACACACACAAGGTGCGCCTGATCCTTCCAATCTTCTGAGGCAGCGAGTCACGGCAAACATAGTAGCATCTATAATACAGCAGTCAGCGCACCACAGTTTACTAGGAGCTAGAGGAAACATTACTGGTACTAGGATGTTGGTCACCAATGAAGATTTGAATTGTTGGTATCGATGTTGATAGTCGGTGATTGTCGTCTCCTTCAAGCCCTGGCAAGTTCGGAAAGAATTCGACATCGATAAGTAGAAATATATGGTCGAAGGCGTGGAGATATGAAGGAATGGAACTCGGGCACTCAGGCCGAAGAGCGTGCTGTTGAGGCGTGGCAAATTAGCAAGTCAAATTACATTGAAGTCCCGATTCGAACATCTTACTTGTAAACGCGTCTTCTTGATAAAGCCTTTGCGTCCTGCAAGCTCGCCCCCATCTACTCCTGCTATGTCTACTCGACGTGTCACCCGTGCAAAAAATGCAACTCAGCATCCGGGTATCCCAGACATAACCCCGAAGAAGAAACGCCGTACTGCAGAAGAAGTAGCTGCTGAGCGTCAGTCTAAGTTAGATGCTAAAGAAGAGAAAGAACGCACCAAGAGAGCTAGCATCAAACGTGTTGCTAAATATGAGAAGAACCAGGCGGACCAGGATGTGGTGACCGATGCTACACCGCGGGCTGCGCTGCCCAAGCCAAAGCCAATCCCAAGCAAGAGGAAGGCTGTTGTGGCGCCTCCTGCTACCAAGAAGAAGGTTACGCCTCCTTCAGATGCCGAGATGAGTGATGCACGAGCTGCACCTTCGGTACCAAGGCCAAGGCCAAAGCCAATTCCTCGCAAGCAGAAGGTAATTGTACAGACTCCCGCTGCGGAGGACAACGGGTTTCTGTCGGATGCTGAGATGGATGATGCGGCTGCTGATAGCAGCGCTTCAACCCCGATCCAACCCAACATTCAGGCACGGTGACCTCGGACATGTACTTCTCGTATGATTCTCGTTTTGATTGATGTCATGCACTGCAGACACCTGCTTGGGCCGATGATTCCGACGATGTGGAGGAACTCAAGGCTGCCCAGATGACCATGATGATCCAAAGTCTCCGAACGACAACAACTTCATGGTACTAGACAACAACAACAACAACAACAACAACAACAACAACGGCCGTTATGGTCATTCTGAGGAGCCCAAACTTGTACGGCGCGCAAATGCTGGAAAATTAAAGCTCATGGACCAAGATAGCAAGACCCATCATGTCATTCAGCGAGCGATACTGGAAGCGAAGGTTCATATGACCTTCGTCAATGGCTATCCAGACATTACAAAGAAAAATTGATTCACGCGAGATGCACTCTTAACTGCAGCTCGCACCTGCGGCGTCACACCCATCTATGATCGCATCAAGACTAACAACTCGTATGCATCTGCACTTGCAACGCTGGTAAGTCATAACTTTGCAAGGGGTGCTCCTACAAATTATATGCAGGTTGATGCTCGAGTGCCGCTTTTCGCACTGAATTGAAAGATGACGCTTGCGCACAAGTCACAGCATATTACCGTCTTCGTCCTGATTGTGTTGATACTAAGGCTTTGC